AACCAAATATGGTCGATTTACGACGCTAAATATTCCGAAATGTGAACATTTTACACTTCTTGTGTGTCTGTTGCGGTTTCTGCTGATTTCTGCCATGAGACGGTTAGGAAATGTACAAAGTTTTAAAACATACATGTTTCGCTTTTGAGCTTTTTGCCATGAACCGCGACCCCGGCTAGGCGGGTTACCCCACCTTGACACGTTTACATGGCAAATTGTCACCCCGGCTGACAGGGTTACTCTACTTGGCAGACCGGGCAACCCGCTTGAGTGGGTCACCCCACCTATCATGTAAACGTGATCAAAATAAAATAAGAAATTATATGGACAGGCGGGTTACCCCACCTAGGAGGGTTACCTCACCTACCTAGGGTCCCCCACCTCCATGTAAACAGGCCCTAAATTATATTCCAGCCCCTTAATATAAGATCTAAAGGATCGATTAAATATCATGGTCTCGCATTAGGAAACACTCCGGCGGAGAAAACAGATATATCGCGATATGAACAAATGGTTTGGTTCATGTAGTTAAGTGTGTGGCACTTAGATCTTAAATGCATATCCAATGATCATCCTGTCTATTTTCTGAGTATAGGGATTTAAATACATATGCACACACACACACGCTCACCCCTATATGCATGCTCACTAGTTTTTCTAGTTTGAGCACTCTGGCATGGCTTAGATGATCCCACATGTGTGAGATCACTTGGGGTGGCTATATGGCCTCACCTCCATCCTAGCATCAGCACTGCACTGATGAGGCCCAGAAGGCCGAAACAATACTGTCTGCAGTTAGTTATATATATATATATATATATATATATATATATATAAATAATATATATACATATATATATGAGTGAAAGAGTCAAAGGTCAAAGATGACGCGTTGATTCTCTGCTACTCTGAGTTTCGCGCCTAAGCGCTCGTCAGACAGAACTTTATTCAATGAAGAACATGCCTCCTTATATACAAATTAGATGAGTAGCTAATTAATTCACTAGTGTGGTGATCTGATCTACGTGTGAAATAGAGATTCTATAGAGCTATTGTTGGCGGCTTGTGAAATTTGCTAAGTAAAACTTATTCTCGTGGCGGCATTTAGAAATGAGTTCTGTTATTTTGTTTAATAAAGACGGTTTCTTAGCTCTAACTAAATAAAGTTTTTCTGTGAGGCACGAGTGGCACCGCTTGCTTTTGTTGCTGTAGACCGGGGCGGTCGCTAAAATATTCCAGTTTATTGTAAAATTGGTGTTGCTGTCTTTGAGTGTCCAGATATGCTTTGATAGTTCCGTGCTGAATAGTTTCTGTTCCGAAAAGAAAGTTTGTGTTGCGTGTAACGTTGTTTAAAAGTTCCTTCAGTAAGTCCAATGTAATTCTTTCCGGTTGTGTCATTTTCTGTTGTTACGTTGGCGTTGTAGACGACGCTTGAAGTGAGGAAGGTTTTTTTCAGAGGGCAGTCGTTTTTTTTCCTGCAGTTACATTTGTTTTCCGTGGAGGGTGTCTTGCTTGTTTCGAGGATTTTTCTGTTGTGCCTCTTAATTATGGTTTGTAGGTTGTCTGTGCAGCTATAACTAACTTTCATGTTGTTTTTGTTGAAAATTTTGCTGTACCGGTGATTTTTCGGAAAATGTTTACTGACGAGGTTCAGAAACTCTCTGTCGATGTTTGTTTGTACATTCATGCTGAAGGGCGGATTAAACCAAATTATGTTTCTTTGCCTGTTCTTGCGGCTGTTTTGTACGGTGTGAGTTACAGGTTTCTTGCGCTCAGTGTAGGTTAATTCTTCGTCGTGTCCACTTTGATTAAGTGCACTTTCGTAGTGTGGTTTGGCTTTGTTAAAGAGTTCTTTGCTTGAGGTAATGTCGGAGATTCGTCGGCCGATGGCTGCTGGTAGGTGTTTTATTATTGTAGGTGGGTGGTTGGAATTGGCGTCGATGTAGAGAGTTTCGTTGTTGGGCTTTCTGTATGGATAGTGGGTTCCGTCCGTAAGGTTTAGGGTGACGTCGAGGAAGTTGCAGATTTTTTGGTTTGTGCTTATAGAAATGTTCAGTCCTTGCTTCTTAAATTCTCGTGAGATGTCCTTTCTAGTCCGTTCTGATTGTGGTCCGCTTGCGTTTATTCAAACAGGAGGTATGTTCTTCATTGAATAAAGTTCTGTCTGACGAGCGCTTAGGCGCGAAACTCAGAGTAACAGAGAATCGATGCGTCATCTTTGACTCTTTCACTCGTATATACCCAGCTTTGCTACCACAGCATTGAGCACTTTATGCCAAGGTAGACTTTACCCCCACATTTATATACATACATATGCATATATAGTTCTCAAGCTTTTCTGCTGTATGAGGTAATGTGTACGCTACTTGAATGGGTCTGAAGGGAGCTGTCTCCGTAAGAGCTCGTCATCGTTTGCATTTGGTTGTTGTTGTTGTTGAAAAATTTTAAGAAATAGATAGATAAACAGGGGAGTCATCCAGGAAACGAAGGAAATCATAATGGCCATTGCCAATATGACAATTTTTCTCGGCTGTTGATCTCGATGGTTTTGGCAACAAGATAGTTACTCTTTTGTATTTTTGTTAATTTTTCTTAATGTCCGTGCGATAATGCTACACAACGGCCAGGACTAGAGCGAGAATGGGGATGAAAGTCATAAAAGTTGCCGTAAGAAATCTTTTATGCGTTTTCATGTGGTCGAATTTCGGTCCCCAATTCAAGATACAATACGTTTCATTTTCGTAGGGAATCAGTTTGAAGCTGTAGAAATAAGGTGCGTGGACGGCGATGGCGACAAACCACGTGCTTAGAATACTGATCAATCGCACTTTTGAGGAGATAAGTTTGGCCTTCAGTGGAAAGACGACAGCGATGAGCCTATCTATTGAGATCAAAAGAAGGCTTCCGATGGAAACCACAAGAGAAACATCTGGGAGAAAGTAGGCAAGTTTGCATAAAATGTTTCCCAGCAGCCACGGGCGATCAACTTTCCAGGAACTCGATCCTGAAATGATCTCAACGATCTTCACAGTCATGATGGTCAAAGGGTTGTTGAAGAGGTCGGATACAGCCATGTTGAAAACAAAGTAGTTGATGGATCTTCGTAGCTGCTTTTTCTTGTAAATGACCACAAAAAGAAAGATATTTCCGAAAAACGAAACAAGGAAAATGAAAATATAAACCAAAGCTTTAGCCGTAACCTCTACAGCAGAGTCGGTTGTTATTTCACAAGCTTGGTCGGGATGACTCGAGGCTGCATGGTCGGTTGTCTGAGAGCTGTTTTCGAAGAAATGCCTCACGATTGTGTTGACAGTCATTATCTCCCTTGACACTTGTCAATCCACGAGTGAGCTATCCAAAGGTTACATTTAGGATGGTTTGTTTTAACAGCAACACTGAACTTCGTTGTAGTCACTGTTTTGTTCGACCAAAGTGTTAAGGATGGGTCCTATTTAACTGAAAAATCTTCGTCTTGAAGTTAATTTTAATAGATGAATACATATACAAATAAGTTTGGGTGAACATAACAAGGTAATCATTATTGACGTCAAAGTGATCGACCCGCTAAAGAAACGACTTGCATCGGCCATTTCTATCATAGGTTGATGACGGTTCGTTCACTTATTTGCGATAATTTTGGAACTGGTAGGGGTCAAAAGGCGGAATTTTTGTCCCACGGCATAACGATATCGACTTTCCATTAAATAACACAAAAGCAGATGAAAGGGAAGCAAATTGAAAAACTAATTGAAGACTATTAAAATTTAATTTGTCGAGGAGGCCATGTTTTTCTCAGGTATTAATTGTTTTGATATCCCTTAAGTCGGAAATTCTCTGCTTAGGAACACGTGAAAATCTAGAGAATTACAAGTCATGTGGATGAGCGCCGGACTACTGTGAGGGAGATCAGGGTTCAAGACCCAGACCGGACCCACACTCAGAGTCTTAAAATAACTGAGGAGAATGTGCTGCCTTTGCTATGATATCTGCAAGCAGTTAGACATTCTAGACTTCTTGGATAAGGACGACAAGCCGTAGGCCCCGTCTCCTGCATCTTCTCGGTACTAGTTAGTAGGGAACGTTAACAAAACCCACACGCTTGTATCAAAGAGTAGGAAACTTAGTTCCCGGTGTTGTGGTCTGTCCTAGAAGAACCCTTACGAACCTGACCGAACCCGAGCATATAAGCCTTGTAGAGAGAGAATGCTCATAACATGGTAAATATAAATATAATATAATATAAAATTTGAGTAATATGGTAATACGGTAAATATAAAACAAATAAAAATACACATAACAATTGATTAGAAAATGCCCTGTTGGGTGTCCTACCACTTTATTTTCGTTGATTTGAAAATTCTACCCAGGTAGAGACATTTGAATAAAAAGTCGGTCGCATAGGGCCATTGTAGGCGCCATTATTCTAAGTAGCCAAGTGTTTAAAACTTGCGGGAATTCATGTCGTGGCCTTGATCCTGGTTAATGCACATATGTTATTTACGAAACCAATGACTAAACGAGCCGGTGCAAAACAATCATATCTTTAAGAGGAGAGAGCGAAGAAAACAAGTAACCCTACAACACAAACAGATGCCGACTTTAAGCCGAGACGTGACCCCGTCAAAACAAACAGGAAGTATATGTGTTATTTTCGTGCACTGAATAATTACTATTAAGCAATTGACCTTTGTCATGCAAAGAAGACATTTATGAGCGGCGTTTATGGTCACCCTGTAGTTATCGAATGGAATATATACGTAAGAAGTCATTCTAAAAAACTGTCCTTGAAAAAACGACAGATAAAAAGGAAAATTCCATTAGGCAGTAAAACAAAAAACAGACAGCCATTTATACGTAAGAAATATATATGTTCTTCTTATTGCGAAATGAATGTGCCTTCATGGCAGAAGCAGGTGATTTGAGAGCTCAATGCAATGTCACGTACAGATTAATGAGAAATAAATGTATAAGTGACAACGGCATACCAAAGCAGACTCAGATGTGATACAAAGCTTCGTGAGCGGAACTTCGATAAGCAGGCGGAAAGAGCTTCGCAAGGACATTCGTTGCTCAATAATCTAGAGTATTAAGGACCAAGATGTTTTCAAATTGTACCTTGGAACAATTTGACTGTGGAAACGCTTCGGCAAACATATCGGAGAATGCTGAGATCTCAGACGACCGAGAATGTTTTGGGAGAGAAAACAACCGGACTGAAGTATTCTTCAAAGCACTGGCTTACTCTCTCATCCTTCTTGTTTCTCTTTCTGGAAACATTTTGATCCTGATAATCACTTACAAAAACAAACAATTGCGAAAATCGGTCGACTACTTCGTGTTCAACATGGCAGTATCCGACTTGTGTATTCCTCTGACCATCATTCTCATCAGAATCGTTAACATCTCTTCGGGATCAGATTCTTGGAAAGTTGACAGTCCTAGGCTACTGGGAAACATTCTTTGCAAACTGTGTCACTTTCTTCCTGATGTTTCCCTTATTGTATCAATCGAAAGCCTACTCTTGATATCACTGGATAGATTAATGTCTGCACTGTCTCCACTAAACACCACATTCGAGTCAGCGAAAGCACGTGTTATTGGAATTCTGTGTACGTGGATCACCGCCTCTGCAGTTCACTCTCCCTATTTTTATACCTTCAGACTGACTTCAGAGGAAGACGGAGAAACTCTTTGCGTGTTTGACTGGGAACCAGCCTTCGATCGTCAAAAAACACACAAGATATATAGCACAACAATTCACATCGCTTTTGTCATCACACCAATTTGTCTCCTAATCATTGTGTATGGGACCATTGTCTGGATCTTGAAGAAGAGAAACAACCGAAACAGGACACAACTTTCCTATCAACTACGCCGTCTAGAGCAACAACGAAGAAAAGTCATCCAAATGACGGTGGCCTTGGTAGTTTGCTTCGTTTCATGCATGGTCCCGACTGTTGTTTATATGTTCACTCGAATATTCCTCTGGGATTGGGATGATCAACCCATTTGTGTGTTTGAAACGGTGCTTAATTTCATAGCTGGATTCATGGTGTTATCTTGGAGCGCTTTGAATCCATGCATCTGCTTGATATTTACGAGGATATATCGTAAAAGCCTTAAAAGACTTTTACCAATCTTCAATTGACCTATCGGCGACTAGGAGAAGTAGATAAGAAGAGATTTTAAAATGTAAGAACAAAGAAAAAATAACAAGAAAAGCTAAGCGAAAAAAAAAAATTAAACGCGTCAGGGAATTTACCCGCCATAATGTGCCATACGTTTCCTTTTGCCGTGATAAAGGGGAAGTCATGTTTATTCTTGTGGTCTGGTTAGCCTGTCATTCATATGGAATCAATCGGTAAAACACAAAGAGTTTGTCTCTCAAGCAATGTAAATCAAACTGAAATAAAACATTTCTCTAGAAATGAAGCCGGAATAAAGAAAGTAACCTGATGTTCAGATGAAAATTTGGAATTATTTTCTCTCCAATATTTAATACCCGGGAAATTTTTTGGGGGCATAGGTTTAACCCATCTTGTCTGACAAAAAAAAAAGATATGTGACAATTGAACTGCCAAATTTCTTTGGCTATCAAATCATTGCGTTTGATAGTGTAATTAAACGTCATCTCTAGATCCATTTGTAGCTGAATTCGATTCGCCCCAAGCGCATAACAAAGTCATTTTGTTGCCTTGCTCGGCATGGCGGTTGTTTGTGAGTTTGTATATAAAGTGAAACCATAGGAAAAAAAGCGTCCTCCAATCGGGAATAGTTTCATCATCTCCCAGTTGACAAATCTCGGCCCTCTCCCCCCACGTGTCCAGTCTTGCGGTTATCCTTCGCTAGTTGTCGCAACGTTCTTTCACAGTCGCTCATTTTTGTAATACCGGCAATTCTCCCGACCACTTCTAGCTCCAGCTTTAAACTTAGGCAGAGGCTTCTCAGCTTAATTAATAACTTGATGGTTACTGCTATAAAAAGGGTACAATGGAAAATTAAAAGTCAGGCTAAATCGTCGAGCTTCAACCATCAAAGGAGGAAGATACAGCTGTTTTGAAACGCCATTTGACGAGGGTAAATCTGCTTTTTGTTCGACACTTTACATATCAAAACAAAGGAAATTTGTTTCTCGCATAGGCTCAAGGGATAGATGGGGAAATTACATTAGCCTCTGGTGGCAATACGGATTACTCATTTAATGAATTCCACCTACCCCGATTACGTGCTAACAATCAGAGTTTTACTATGGTGAGCTCGTGGATAAAGTTTGCAGAAGAGAATTATAATAATAAGTTATTGTTCTAGAAGCAAATGATCCCTGTGATTCCAAGAAACAGAATTGAGCAAAATTAGTGAATCAATACAATATAGGCTCGGATAAGATTCTAAGCGGCCACATGCATCCTGGTACGATGACGACCTCCGTTTAGCTAAGCGCATAAAACGGAGAGCACAACGTATTTTCTGGAAAACTGGTCTCGTAGTTCATAAAGACGTTTCCACAGAGGCATATATACCGGCTGAAATTATCAGTTTCTTGAAGAAGAAAAGTAAAGAGAAAAAAATAGCTAGGCTGCATGATATGAAAAACGACGAGATAAAAAAGAAAATACTTTTATTCTTGAAGAAATCGACGTTTTTTAGGCGATATCGACCGTTCAAGTGTCAGTGGACTAATAATTAATAAGTTTCATGATCAACTACGCTTTTTGCACGAGCATCGGCATAGTGCTGTCAGTCGACCGTTACGGCTTTACCAGGTAGGAAAATTACCGTTCTTTTCCCAGTAATGCAACCATTTTGTCATTCCGGAAATTCATCCGAACATCAAAAGCTTGTGCTTGGATCTTTCACTGAGGCCCCTCAATCCAACTGATAACTTGACGGTTATTAGTAGATGGGAAAATTCCGTTCGTTACCGGAGGCAATACGAGCTCAAGCTTAAAACGTTTTTCACAGCCGTTTGCGATGATTAATTCTGCACTGATTCACTACTACTACATTTCAAAGTATCTACAAGTTTACCCCAAAGATTCCGACTTCTTTTTACTTACACACACCCGAGGCAGAAGTCCTTACTAAACGACAAACCGTGTAGACTCGGAGTGTAAAACTGATATCTCGAGACTAGCGACTAAATGCAGAAACGGCTCCGACCTGTGATTGGATGGTAAAAATGGTAAAGTTAAAAAGTTATATCTTAACTTCTTGCTCGTGAGTGTTGTTTAACCGTATGTCTCGAAGCGGAACAATGAAATATCAATGCGAGTGAAAACACTGACGTGTCAGACAAGAAATGGCTACTCACATTACAAAAAGACGGCAGTCTTTCCAGGTCAGCGAGGTCGTATAGCGATATTCCGGCTAGGAAAAATTCATCCGCTAACAAAACTCATTTAGTCAGTTTAAGCGGACGGTCAGAGAATGGAGTAGCTTACGTGTAGCCGTACCTCCCCCCCGCCCCAAAAGGTAAAACGGTTACCTCGCCTCCGTTTCACCTTGTTGGGGGAGGGTACGGCTACACGTTAGCTAAGACTGGAGCCATTCCTGTATTTCACCGCTGACAGGAATGGCTAAATTAATTATTTTTTTTCATTTTGGCTAAATAATTTATATAATGAGATAAGAACTGAAAAAGCGTCTTATTAGGTTCTACTTATGTTGAACTCTACAATGCTTGTAAATGAAGCCCTCTTTCATTACACAGGGCCATGTAGTTTCCAAGTTTTAAAATAATGCAGCAACTGCATGTCACGTTTGGACATGCCATGCCATGTTGCGTGACCGAGATTTTTAATCTACAGTATGCTCTGCTGGAGAAATGTGGCTTGGCCACAATCGAAGGAGTTTTTTTTGTGGAAAACTGATTTTCTGGGATAATTGTTCGCATGAAGGACAAATCCATTCATCGAGCTCCTCATCTATTTTTGCACAACACCTAAAGGAAGAAAGTCGCGAATTACTTTATAGACCTGAAAAAGGAAAAAAAAAACAAAAAAAACCTCTTACCAGTCATATCAGTGGCAGAAACTCTTGCACTGAATCATGTCAAGTATCTTGATTGTTTGCAGCGATGGCACAACTAATCTTCGGACAGCTTTTCGGCTATAACAAGAAAGAGTAAATGATTTTGTAAAACATTGTTCCGCTTCGAGACACACAGTTAAACAATACTCGCAAGCAAGGAGTTAAGATATAACTTATTAACTTTTACTATTTTATTATCCAATTAACAGGTCGGAGCCATTCCTGTATTTAGTCGCTAGTTATCTCTAGCCTAACCGCCATGATCCCATTCCCTCCTCGGCCAAAATTTTGGAGAACATGTACCGTAAAAACTCGACTCGTGTGTAAGCCGCCACCTATCTTTCAAGCATGATTTAGGGAGAAAAAACTCCAAAAAAGCACTATTGTAAAAAAAGTGGGTCGTTTATTCGCAGATGTTCACAATAAACTTGACCACATCTAATGGTGTGTATTTACAGCGACATTAATAAGTTAATCAACTCTGAAAATACCTTTAATTGATTTCCCTATTCTTTGTGACTGGCAACAGTTGTCATGATTGCTAAAACCCACAGCTCAAATGAAAACGTGGAATTTGAACGAAAATCAAAGGGCTATTGGAGCCAGCTCATTCATGCTATGGCTTAAGTTTGTATTAATTTTATGGACTTGTTGGAGATATGTACGGTTGAATTCGGTTATGTGAACTCTCAAGACTAATGGAATCAATTTTCTTTTATTTTTGGGCAGTTGTGTGATAAGAAAACTTGTGCATTCGTCGTGATGAGAATTGGAAAAAAAGCGTTTTGTGGGCTGTAGGTGTTATGGGCAAACGCAGGAGTTCCTGGCAGAGGTCATTAGGTAGACAGTGTCCTTTTTGTTGGTGAGTGTGTTTGTGGGGCGGAGGTTGGGCTGGTGGGCATAATCAGGCATCAAATGTTGCTCTAGTAGCAAAATATTAGTAACACTCATCTTTCACGATCATTTGCACTATTGTGAAATATTCCTTGCCGTTTCTTGATATCTTTTGTTTTTAACAAAGCGGCCATTGCATTTGGTTTTTAACAAAGCGGCCACAATAGCTCTTAGTAGAATTTCAAGCCTTCGTATAATCTGATTTTCACATATTAATATTTGCTTAGTCACCAAACAGATGAGAGATAAAACCTCCAGAAAAGTAAAAAACGGTTAGTCACGAAAGCAATGCTTCGCTTTTCCCTATTAAAATTCGCCGGTTCCTCGTGTAAGCCAATAACAATATAAAGCACATAAATGAAAATCAGTGCGTGTACACCCCTGAACGTTGAAAATATATCAAGTCGAAGGAACAGTTTTGGTCTCGGTCCGCACGTTTGTCATCAAAATGAGCACATATCGGTTAAAAGGATGAAATGTACAGACCACGTACAACGCTGTCAATTGTTTCTCGAATATTGCGCGTGTCAAATATTCAATATGACACCTCATTTACATCCACATCTACATCAACTTTTATTAAGTTGGTAAATTCTGTACAGACATCACACCAACCAACTCGCGTGCAAAGTGGGAAGACTATATGAAGGCTTGAAATTATATTAAGAACGACTGTGATCAAGAAACGGGCAGGGAATACTCCTCAATAGGGAAAATAATCGGGAAAGATGATGGCGGAACAGCGATTGCGTGACGCTCGGCAAGTTGTAAGATGATATGCTATCAGGTATCAGACGGAGAAACATTAAAAATTCTCAGTCTGCATTTTGCACCCAGTCTGCAGTCTGCATTTTGTACCTAGTCTGTATTTTGTATCCGGTCTGCAGTCTGTTGTCTGCATTTTGTACTGACCGGATTGGTTTGCTGTTTTTGTTCGAACGAGCCTCAAGTCCGGACCGAAATATTGGAGCTCGAAAAAAAAAAATTTAGTGAGACTTTCTTAGCCTCTATGATTGATGTGTGGACTGTAGGCTGAGGAGCTCCCGAGGAGAAGTACGATGATAGAACAATTATTACCTTATACCTACTGCTTACTATACTATATGGCTGCCTCTGATGCTCTTCCGCGTGGTCACAGCGTGTGTTGAAATGAACCCGCTACGGCTCCCTTAGGTGTGAACATTTCGGCTTCTCGATTCAAGCTGCATTTTTAGAAGTTCGGAAGTGTCATTGGAGGTTATTATTCTTATTAAACCATAAAAAAACTTTATTTCTTTCCACGAGAGTTTCTGAGCTACATCGAAATTAATTTTGACTTTCAACAAGTGGGGAGGGGTAGCATGCGAGACTACTTCCGTTCGCGGTCCACAATGCAACTTCAGTCAACGGAATACAACTACCGCCCACGGTCGACAACTTCGTCAACATCTGCTTCACCACGATACCTCATTCATCGCTTTCAGCGTGTAACGTGCAAGAGCACGATGCAAAAAGTTTGCCACGCGGAAAGTCTAGACTCTAGAGACAAATAATGGTCTCGTCTATAAACCGCACCCGCGATTTTTGGCCCAAAACTTAAACAAAAAGGTCTGGCTTCTACACGAGTCTCTGCCGTATTTTCCTCTGTAAAACGTTTGCTGGTTTCACCAGAATGATCAAGTCCGACTTATCTTTCTAAGTGAAATTAGCTGGTTTATTTGTTTTGTTTTAGTTTGTATTTGTTTTTAATTTTCTATTGTCTTCCGATGTTATTTAACGAAAAAGGAAAAAATTTAAGTTGCCTCAAACTTGAATCGTGACTTGATGTTGACTTGGGCTTAAAGTAGACTCGTCCAATGGTATAACAAATGTCTCTATACCTTCATTGTCACTTTTCCTGTCACTTTCTTTGTCACTGTTAGTCTGACAGTTAATGTCACTGTTTATGCCACAATCACCACCCTCACTGTCCTCATCAGTGTCACTTTCTAAGTCTCCCTTAACGACACTGTTGACAACTAACAAGTTGTTATCCTAGCGGTTATCCTTGCCGAAAATGGTATGGGTCAATGTGAAAGATACGCTCTAGTAAACTACATACTTTTTTTAGGCTGTTGTCGATTGCCATCAAATCTTGCCTATTGTCAGCGGTGGTCAATGATATCTTGAAAGTGGTTGAAATTAAAAAACCACGGAGAAATCCCAGTCAACAAAATTTGAAGATTTACTTTAATCAACACTGGGATGTAGAAACTACGGTGTAGGTTGAAACAAAACTTCAAAATAACACACGTTGAGAGTGATAGGATTGCAATTCATCTGTAGGTCAAATGAAATGTATTTCGTTAAAAGGGTGATCAGATTCCATCACGCGAAACATGAAACCTCCGAAAATTTTTCTCAATCATGATCAGGGCTAAAAAGAACGGAAATCTGAAAACCCAAAGAAAGAAAGTGCATGCTCCAAATGGAGTGAACAGTCTGAGAGTATTAAATCAAAGTAATTCCCACTATGGGTTAAAATAAATAAAAGACATACCACAAAATGGAAAAAAAAAAGAACTTTGCCAGACGCCTCCAATTTTTAAGTAAGCATTCTTCAAGGACCGATAGGACCCAAACAAAAGTACATTAAAGCAAAAAACAAAAGATTAGCAATAACATGAACAAGTCAAAGACAACTTAATGAAACAACCACATTTATTATAAAAATAGAAGTCATAATTAAGTCATCTGATTAAAAATTGGCAATCTGATTCTTAAAGCAAATGGAATTCTAGCACATAAAAGTCGAGAAGACGGCAACTCATTAAAGCCGTTATAGCTTCTTCTGACCTAATTACCAATGAGCATTTCACTCCAGCATTACAACGATTTTTGTATTATATCAATTTTCTAAATAAAAAATTTTTTTATCTTATAATTCCAAGCCAGACTATGTAGTTAAAGTAACATTTGCAACACTTTTATGGTACATAAACGAAAAATAATAGATCTGTGACCTTGAGTATCATGCACCTATAAAAATTTCTAGCAATGACATACAATTCTTTTGTTTGCTTATTACATCAACCTGACGAAGATAGAGGTTTATCGCTTGCAACATCTTAAGGGTTACTCAAGTATGGTATGTCTGTTCCACATTCAAAACTAGCATAATTTAGATGCAAAGTGGGTAGAAAACTTAATTTCATTTTGTTTCTGGTAAGAGCGGAAGGTCTTGGAGCAGTTTCAGTTCAACTAATTATCATTTAATCTTCCTAAATGGATGAAACAATTACAAACAAACAGACAAAACATGTAATGTGCACACAACACTGTGAAATCAAATAGGAATGTCTCACTGTAAAATGATGTGAACTGAAGCAAGGAAAAAGCGGGGGATCTGAGTGGTGAAACAGCTGTGTGCAAAATGCATGCTGCCTGGAAAAACGAAGTAAAACAAAACCATATCAGTTGAGGCAGTTCTGAAATACTCCCTACTTCTAACAATCCGTACTAGAGACTTGACATGTGTCACCGTGAATGGATTGGTGTTTGAATCATAATGTTTAGGATTCCAAATACACCTCAGCGTTTAGAGAATCTTAGTAATTAGCTTCAAATTCTTTATAAATTTTACTGTAAGTACACCATAAGAGTGGAACATTGAATCTTCTTCACAAAAGAAACACTTCTTGTGCTTCTTTACAACCATAACGATAAGTTATTATACACCACCCTGTTAAACTTCATAAGCACCATCATCTGTATTGTGCCTTTCCTCTTTCAACATATGCTAGAAAAAAACACAACTTATATTAAGAAGGACACGATTGAAAAACTTTCATGCCATAACTGGTCGGGGAAAGATGAAAAACACTTTGCGGGTAAGCTCAAAGTTATTAAGTACAAAAATATATCAACATAATTAACCATTTCAAAATCAGGTAATATTCAAAGAAATTAAATTTAGTGCCGATTGACCCATTAAAAACTTAAGAGGATGACATGGAATTCATAAGTGAATCTCAAGGAAAAGTGTCAACAGCTTACTGTAAGTGAATCAAGCTCCTGAGAGAAAGCTCCTATTGTCCCTGTTACATGGTCATCACCCTAAAAAGTATTAATGACAACTAATTAATACCAAAGCTGTGAGCCATGCATCCATCTTTTAATTTTATAAAGAAGTCGTTGTTTGTATTTGGGAATGTAGCGAAACATAACGGTTTTTCTTTGAATAAATCCACAATTTGTTCTTTTTCCTGGAACGTGGTGTCTGTACTTTTTTTTAATGTCAATATGAAAGAGAAATAACTTGATACATGTAATTCACGTTAATCTGGAGGCAGAAAACAAATTCATTTCTTCAGCAATCTCTTCTATTCATTTTCTTTAACCTGCTTCGACACAAGAACATATTAAGAGTTTTTGTGGTAGCATGTTAATAATTATATAGTTTTAAATGACACACTTAATGATAAAAATGATAAACCTGAATTTCCCTATCTTCATCACGTTTTATTCTTGATTGTAAGCCAGACTCATCATTTCGCTCAGCTGAGCGTCTACTTCGCTGTACCACAAATGTCGTCAAAGCTGGAGGAACCTCTAGGTCCATAGGACATACATAGTCATCCAGTTCTACATCCCCCTTCCCACGCTTTCGTAGTGCACTAAATGACGATGTTCTTCGGACAATCTACCAAAGTGATGCAAGTCTTGTTTATTCTAATAACTACCTCAACGCAGGTGGAATGTCTATTCCAACCATTTCCACCCAAAACAATTGAAACATTTACCACGAAAAGTCAACCAGTTACTTCATCCTACCAACCCTGTATACTGGTATCTCAATCTCAGAGTGTTCCAGTACAGAGGATTCAGTGTATTAAATAAGAAAAAAAAATCACATGCAATCAGTAGCCATGGTGAATATAAAAATTGCACCAGAGGAATCAAAACAAGCATGATATAGCCCTTGAAAAGTAGTACTATCCAATCCATATTCAACAAGACCTCTTTATTTAAATGTAATATAAACGAAACACCACACTGATTCAGTGAATACCTTATGCTTAATTCCTGGCATGAGAGGCTGAAACAACGGGTCACCCGCTGCCTCTTCCTTCACTTTATGACATGCAGTCCCAACAAGGGATTGGAAATGAGTAGCCAAGTGTCGCCGAAGAAGTGTTTTACTGCTTGGTATGGACAGTAATGCTGCCAAGCTCTCTGCAGTAAAACGTGGCTCCAGTATCTACATTAATAACAGCACAGCCATAAGTGTGATTTACCCATGACAGTTAATATCATCAATCATTCAACATGAAACTTACAACATACAAAGGATACATTGTTAAATTTTACACTCGAAGTACTCGACTCAGTTTGCAGATACTTTCCAAGATAATCAGTATTGAGAAAGATGTTCTTTGTCTTGTCACGCGGGGCAAAGAAAAAGTTCTTATTTCTCAGTTACTATTTGAGTATATCGAATATTTGAACCTTGTGCGTCAGCGTTTTTTGTTCTCTGCCGATGTAAAAGGGAATAACTATTAATTTGTGAGGTCTGTTGGCACTTTTAAAATAACAATTAACTAATTCGCCTTGGGCCAGTTTTATTTAAATTGTACTTTACTTTTGTAGATTTTAGAGAAAGAGAGATCTCAACTTAAAATATTTTATCATTGTTACCATAATTGTAGTTTATTTCACGGTGGGTGAGCGCGTACGATTTTTATTCACAACAAGTGAATGAAAATCGTACAAGCGAACTAACCGTGAAATAACTTATTTATTACATACATACCTAGATTCATAAGCGAACAGAACTCAAAGATAAACATATCTTTATATTCTTTCAAAGGAAAACAACGCGCGGTCAGGCCGCCTCACAGTTCGAGAGTTGCACCGAAATGGCTTCCTTGTAAAATTCTTTACATTTAAATTATCAAGCAAAAATGCCGTTAAAAGGTTAGAATAAACTAGTTAGAATAAAATAAGACATCCTGAAAATATGTTGAAATAGTTATACGGAAGTTAAAAATTTGAAATTCAGAAGTGAAAACCCGAGACTTTCCGTCTTAGATCCCTCTGCTTTGACAGAAGCGCTTTCCGAGTTTGCTCGAACTGGACGTCTTTCGTAAGGCAAAGTTCATAGTTTTTTTCCTTCAAATGGCGCTCAAAGCTAACGAAGAATGCCCTTAAGGGATTAGGTTCGTATTCCTCGTTGTCTTCTTTTTTGCGAACCGTTATAAGGAACTCGCTAAGAAACTTGTTCAGCTCTTGAGGAGTTAATTCGTCCATTTGACTCATCTCGCCTTTTAAAACAAGAAATTCGTGAAACAGAGCAACATCGTGTTTGGTCTTTTACTTGATGTTTTCATTTTCCTGTCTGTCTATGAACTCTTCTACTGATGAATCTAAGCTCTGAAAACGGTTAGTCTGATTTGAAGCCATCTTTCTAAAGAAAAATGAACCTAAGCTCTTAGGACCTGTTTACATGGAGGTTGGGGACCCCAGGTAGGTGAGGTAACCCGCCTAGCCGTGGTCAAAAAATAAAACGCGTTTACATGCAATCTTACAACCCCGGGGTGCTGGAGTGAGGTTTCTTGAGGTTGTTGTTGCGCTTGCAATTAAGGAGTTTGAGCAGAGGCGTCCCAAGCTCACATCTCGAAAAAGACGAAAGATTGATTCTCGGAACATATGTATTTATTAATGAAAGCGTCACGCGTTGTGTTACGCGGTGTTTGGTTTCGCGAGGAACCGTTGACTTAATACGTTATACGGAATAGTTTGGGAAACCAAATATGGTCGATTTACGACGCTAAATATTCCGAAATGTGAACATTTTACACTCCTTGTGTGTCCGTTGCGATTTCTGGTGATTTCTGCTTTGAGACGGCTAGGAAATGTACAAAGTTTTAAAACATACATGTTTTGAGCTATTTGCCATGAACGCGACCCCGGCTAGACGGGTTACCCCACTTTGACACGTTTACATAGCAAATCGTCACCCCGGCTGACAGGGTTACTCTACCTGGCAGACCGGGTAACCCGCCTAGGCGGGTCACCCCACCTATCATGTAAATGTGATCAAAATAAAAGAAGAAATTATATAGACAGGCGGGTCACCCCTCCTTGGCGGGTTACCTCACCTACCTGGGGTCCCCCACCTTCATGTAAACAGGCCCTTAAAAATGTGTTACTTGTCTGTCAAGAGGAGCGGCAAGCGAGCGACACGGTTTTGTTCACGAGTGAAAATAATGATATAGCCAATCAGAGCGTCGATACGTCGTTTTTCACTAATGAAAAAATCGTATGACCAATTACAACCTCTTCTCTAGCGCGAAGAGACTATTTTTATCTCGATGCTTTTTGGCGCGTAAATCTCGGTAGGTATATAATAATTATAACTACCACCATCATTACTGTTGGTATTATCATTATTCATGTAATAGTGTAGTTTGATCGTCCGGGTTACCCCCAGGTCAAACCATTTACTGTATTATTATTCATAGAATGCATATCTTTACCATCAGTGATCCATGTACACCACTTCCTCGGAGATTGGGTGCATACTCCGCTAAATCGACCAAGCGCAACCATTCTGTGACTCGACTGTTGGTCCATAACAGTACATCAGCACCTTTAAACCATGACTGATTAATACAGCAAAATAGGGCATTAGTATCAAAGTTTGCAAATAAAACTAAGCATTGTTACAGTGCTGACACTCACAATTGTCAGGAATTCTTACGCAAGAAATTAAATTAAAAGAAAGCCAAGATATTTCAATGCCACTGACGTTGCACGCTACAGCCAGTAAAGTTTAGCAATGTATGGAACTGACCTCATCCACAGGATGCCTCTTGAGACAGTTTGGATGGAAATTGTGTAACCTGTTCCAAAATAGCAAGGAAGATGACAGTCGACTATTGTTTTAGTTACAGAAACTTTAAATGCATTAAATGTATACATAGCCAGCTTTATTATTCAAGATAGGTGAAAACTAAATAATAAGGAAAAAGAAAACACAGGTTATCATGTGCTTTCAATTTCAATGACACTATACCCAGAACAAATGCGTGAATGTGATTCCACTTATCAAATTCTTACTGTTACTGAGAACGGCCTGTTAATTCATGACGTGTATCTTTAAGGCAGACTATATCTCCCTCTTTAGTTGTACTTGAATTCCCCGTTAAAATAAACCAACAACAACAAATAGAAGCACTGAACAACAAGCAGTGCATGGAGAGACGTTGGATCTGATAGGAGGAATTAAGACAACTAAAAACACACAGGATAACACTAAGTGGGGCTTTAATCAAAAACAGGTCAATGGATGGTACTTGCTTATCCATCTAATGAAACCTGATGTACCCACCATAATTTGTTGCAATGGTGTCAAGAAAATTCCAGTGAGCATTTCTTTTCGTTTTTATCTATCTAATTTGCCGGAACGAGTTTGATTCATAAATGCGTAGATGCCTTTAATGAAATAAATTCGGTAAAAACTAATCATAATTTCACACTATTGTTCACATTGGTTAATATTAATCAGAATAATTTAACAGTCCTTACAGTAGGTGATAAACATATAAACCAGGAGTGACAAGAAACACTGCATTTGCCGTTATAGGAGATATCAGTTAGGGCCCCTGGCGCTGTACTGAACAAAATTAATCATAGAATTAACAAAATGTACAATCATCACCTGAGGCACTGTATCGCTCTCTTTAAAGTGATGTGGTGAAGTGTGTTGTGCACTTTGAGGTGTAGCAAGTCACTCTGAACAGCAAAAACAAGACATATATGCTACAAAAGGTAACTTAAAGTATTCTAAAAAAAAAAAAAGATATTCAATGCACCAAAGACATTGAATGCAATCTGTCCATAAATTTCATTAGAAAATACTTACCTAAAAATAGCTGCCAAGGACTTAAGAGCTAATGTCAACATACATCAGACAAACAGTCAGTTGTAAAATACAGTCAGTTGAAAATACTTACCTAAAAATAGCTGCCAAGGACTTAAGAGCTAATGTCAACATACATCAGACAAACAGTCATTGCAAGTCAATGCCAGTAAACGGTGGCGACAAGTAGGCACACCATGTATATTTCATAGTCGCTAGCATGTAAATGTTGCCGGACTTTGAGTTCATCTCACGATAGAACAACACAAATACACAAGGAAATTTTTACAGTAACTTTATAACCATCCTTTTGTCCTTTAAAAGCTAGAAGTTCAGTAGATTCTGTCATTTTGGTCATTGTTAAAACTGTCTGTTTTGATGCTACTTTTCAACATAGAAAAAGTATGTCGGATAAAAATATTCACCAAAAAATAAATATTTCTTTGCCAGCTTCAATAATGACAGGGGATTAAGTTTAGATGATAAAACAAAGGATTATGCCGACAGAAATACCGGAGGTCAAGTAAATTCGTTACATGAGGTCACACAACTCAGGTAATATTCAGGGTGAAAATTTGCATATTTGAGAGGTCGAACGAAAAATATCATTTCTCGAAAACTAAAATATATTTTCACAAAAAAACTACACCACAATTATTAGGACATATTGGGCTACTAAATATGAAAGTTGGAGAGAGAACGAATTTAGGGCGACTTGCCACACCATTTCAAATTTGTTGGATGGATGCTGACATCCTCTCTTAAATTGGAATTCTGTTCTAAGTATTCAAATGTACATTTTTTTTAAAAATGCAAAGCATCCCATCATATTCAAATCCTGGATGTCAGCTAGATATTAGTTCAATGGCCTGGCTACCTGCTACCCGCAATTCATAGTGCTAACATGATACTACCTCCAACAGGATATCATTACTTACATATGTGAGATAGTTTAGCATATGGCCATCAACGGAACCCTCACTAAAGGAGTCTTTATACTGTGGCAAGCCAATGTCATCTAGCCAACCTGACATAACACAATGAAAAAAACAGTTGTTGAGGACCAGCTAACCAGTCATAGTGCTTTGGGAATGTACATTTTTTTTTCATTATCCAAGTTAAAATTACAGTTTTTATAAAGCATTACCTGTTAGAAGTTGCATTTATTATCTGAAAATATTGTGGGGTGTTCAATTCTTCAGACTGGCTAATGATCATACTATACAACTAATTTTCCCTTTTTTTTAAGGATTAAAATGAATAAAAACACATTGGTAAAGGTATTTAACTTTGTACTAAATTTGTGTTCATGTACTTGTTGTAGTTGTACTGTACCTAGCACCCAGTGGTTACTCAGCCTCCCCATCACATCAGCTCCATCTGAAACTAATGCCTAAACAGATGCAACAAGCAACACACAATCTAGTCAGCACAGATATCACTTTAGTACAGTCAGTTTGGAGAAGAGAAAGGGTGACTGAAAGTAAAGAGCCCAAAATGCTGATAAATCATCAATGTGTGACTTGAATCAATAACCTAATGAATTTTACATTTACATTGAAGATACTGAAGATAGTAATTTTATTTCAAACTTTGGTGTATGTGCTGCAGGTGTACTAACAGAAATTATTATTATACTATTATCGTTATTTCCCTATGCTTGCTATTATTATTACCAGTCCCCTCTACCATGGATGTTTTTAATAACCAGAGGATAATCAATTTACCTGAAGTGCTAACTGTAGTTTCTTCCTATGGAGTGGATTCTTCAATCCCATGTCTTTCTCAAGCTGAGCTGGTGATGCTTTAAGTAGGTCCTGACCACATGTTATCACTCTTCCACATTGCACTGAATAGTGTCCTAGGCCAAGGTCATCAAGCCAACTTAGCACCATTTGTCTACTCCACTGACTAAATGGAAGCTCTAATTGGTCACTAGAGACATGAATCATATCCATCTCTTACCATGATGTAACAAATACTTATTGATATTTATTATAAATTCTTCTGGTCAAATATGTTGATGAAAGGATACACCCTTAAGCAAAGCTTTGACTTATTTTCCTTTGAAAAGAACAAAAACTGACAACCTCAAACTAACAGTTGACAATTATTAGATATTTCATTACATAGTATCCTTTTGTCTTATCAATATGGGTGGATTATCAACATATACCAAAAAAAAAGTCTCTTCCAACTTTTGTAAGCACATATTTGCCTTTTGCTTAATCAAAGTAGCTTGAAATTTTTCGTTTCTGTGTTTGTGTATTTTTTTACCTTTTCTTTCCTTCACTATGTATTTTTCCTCATGCAACACTTAATTGAGTCACCTACATTTTATTTTTGAAATATGATAAATAGAGAGTAACCTCTGGTACAGTATGAGAGACGTACACTAAGCTTCTTGAGATTCCAGAGTAACTTTCTTCTTTTGTGTATTCAGCATTTTTATTTATTTCCTTTTTTTTTTGTAATTTTGTATTTCTTTCTATGAGAAATTCATGTTATAATAAGAATAAAAAATTATGAAATAATGTGAAATTAAAACAATATAAAGATCATTTGGAGAAAGGATAAACCCATTAACAAATACATTTTCTTACGAAAAAAAAGCTTTATAGTTATGGAAAACAACCATATCTTTAAAATTTCTTTCTTGGGTCCATATGAAAAGAAAAAGCTGGTTTTCCTAATTAACTTCAATAACTGAAGCCACACAGTTAACATCAGAAATGTTTTCTCTCAAATCAACAATATCAGCAATCTCCCAGATGCGCCTTGGTTGTTTTTCTACACCCTTTGGAAGTTGGATGTTTTTATTGTGAATATTTCCCTCTACTTAACTTTGAAACCATACAGGATGTCTATCTATTTTAATATTCATACTCTACTTTGCACCTGTATCACCTAATCACAAATAAATGCACAACCCCTCTACCACTGTAGATTACACAGCTTACACAAACTGAGCTGCTTAAGTGTTATTTCATAACATGTCATCACATCCACATATATTCATAACATAGAAAGCAATGCACTAACATACAAGAATGAGTAAAATAGAAAACAAGCAGTTAAAACTAACAACAATGACACATCATCTAAGATAGCTTCCACACAGATACAATGATTACTGTAAGTGAACCAGACAGTCTATTCTTTTCTAAATCCTACAATTCCAGTGAGAAATTCACCTTATCTCTTTAATCCCAAAGCAAATGACAAAGGCCTAACACTTAAGTTTTTAACAGTGGCCAATTTACATTATCAATAGTTAAGAGTTAAAAAGGCAATTTTGCAACTAACATATATCATTTGTAAACACTGAGATTATGATGCACACCAAGTAGTGAGTTCACATGCTTTACCCATAATCACTGTGACTGAAGCCTGTGTAACTCTTCAGATCAACAGGCTCTACAACAGCCAGCCTGTCAGCAGGGTTCATCCCCAGGGATTTTGTCCTTCGTAGCCTACAATAAAATAAAAGGTTACTTTTCTAGGATAAACTCAGTGGTAAGAGAAAATCACAGTTGAATCAAAATCATTATAAGTTAAGGAGACTCTTTTAGGGACACTTTGTTGTATATCTCACAAAAATAACAGACTGAATGTACAAGCATTAAGTTCTAATGCACAGGAAAAATTTAAAACAATTAAAACAAAACAAAAACAAAAACAAAAAATTATATTTCACAAAACAATTTTCTAAAGCTATGGAAGACCAATGCTGACTCTGCCCTTTTTACTACGATAAGTTATTTAAAACTTAAGTAAGGCTGCCGTATCTTTTAGGCCCTTAATGGTTATTATGGGCAGCTTGAACACTCTCCATTTTTATGTAATATATTATTTTTGTATCCTGTAAGTTAATGTTGGGTACAAATGAAGTTGTTGGTAATTTTCAGCAAATTATTTCTCTAATCCACAACAAAGGAGACTATCTTTGTGCAAGAGGAAGCCAATGAGAAAACAATCAACCAATACATCAATCAATGTAAATGTATTAAACGTAGTCAGTACACTTAGCAAAAGAGCTAGTTTGCAGGTAGGCCTCCAAAAAAAAAAAAAAAAGAGAAATAAAGGAAAAAATAAAAGCCTTTTGAGGGTGTATAAATTAAAGCTAAGTTAAGATTAAAAACTAACTAATATTAAAATATAAAACTTCAACAATGTTTTGTCAGACTAAGTTTAAAAATGTAGAAAAATATGAACATTATAAAAATGGTAAAAATTGATTAAGAATAGACCCACATCGCACTCAGTGTCCTGTGAGATTTGATTTTTTTTTAGTTGTTTTTAAAAGTAGTGTATGTTTGAACCCTCCAAGACATGGCTAATATAGTGTTCCACAATTTCAATGAACACATCTCCATGATCTTAAGCTGAAAGTTGATCATATTACTCTTTGAAAGGACATTATTGTTTGCTTCAAGTTTCCTCATTACCTTGAGAACTTCTGTTGGATTTGTATTGCTTAGCAACACATTTAGCCTGTTTGCTAGGTTTTTGATATGAGCAATCTGCTAGATGATCATTTTGATTTTGTTATTTCATACTTTGAGTATAACTTGTGAAAAAATTGTTTAATGTTTTAATACATCTTGAGGATTCTTGATGATTTTATCGCCCTCCTTTCATGTGATTCCACTATTGTCTACAGTCTTTTGAGAGTTAACATAAGGCTTTATGGTGTGCTAAAACATCTTTTGATCTGTATATTTTTCCCAACACAGCTTCTCAAAATATTTGCATATAGATTTCTTCTCATGCTAACTATTTTGTTTCACATAAGACGGTAGTTCTACCAGTCACTCTGATTTAGTGATCTATTAAATTTTTCTTTGGCCAATTTCATTCAACCATTCCTCTCCAAATTTCCAGAGTGATAAACTTCAATTCTTCTAAAGATTGTCAATTGAAATATCTCATTCACTGCGAATGGTCATCTCACACCTACTTGTATAACATCTCCTGGCACCAGTAGACATTGTCCACATCATCAAAAACTTATGAAGCATGAAAAGGAACTTTACTCAGATCTTTCTGAAAATAACAGTAAGGAAGAATGCATGTGCTGATGCTTACTTAGTAATTGCTTTTCCAAATTTACTAAAGCTTGTTTTCTTTTCTTCATCATGATTCTGGTAGTTGATGTTTCCCTGTTCTCTGGAGGTTTCCTTCAATAGTATGAAACAAAATGCAATCATATTTACATGAACATGGGTATAACATAACAGGAGTCATATAACTGTCAACTGAGTTTGGGTATTACAAGACCTTGAAAGGCTCAAGTCGATAATGACAGAGGAGTTCTCCAAGCCTTTCTGGGAGTATCCAGTCACTCACGATGGAAGTGACTGACGTATTTTTTTCCTGGTGAACATTGATACATAGCATAGTGAACATCACCAATGACTATTATAGCTTAAGACGCAAATGAAAAAGTTTATAAAGATATATAAAGAATAAAGTTTATAAAGAACAAAGTTTATAAAGATATCAAGGCGAATAAAGCGAAGTAAACATCGCCAATGACTATATCCGCTTCAGACGCAAACGAGATAATTATTGTGTTGATTTTGCATTAAACGCGCGCCACTGCATGAGATCCTTATAAACTTTGTTGCAAATAAAAAGAACTGCGGGTTATGTGACAATTTTAAAAAATCCAGTGATTGTAGTTGAATTGTCACACAAAAAAATATCACCAACATGATGTTTCCACTTTTTCTTGAGATCCCTTTAAATTTTATTGCAAATAAAAAGAATTGATTTTTATTAAATAGTGCCGCTTAAAAAAAGCGGCACGAAAACATGATGCCGACTCGCCCCCAGTCTCTTTATTTCACGCCACCATAATTAGTTGCGCGACGAACAAATTATTATCGCTTTTTATGCATTTCTCTGCCGCGTGTTAAATTATAAAGTAAACTACGTTCTTGATGGTGACAAAAATTATCCATAGATATCCGGCGCATCTGTTTATAGTACAAACAAATTTCCATTTAACACTAGCGAATGTTTCTCCGTCAGTTGTTTAAATAAAGAGAATTTTCCCGAAACTTTAATTTTTAAGGGACTTGTTAATGTCAATCGGGTGTGTAGGCAGAACCGGAATCGATTTTTTCAGAAATCGCCGACAGTGAAAACTTTATAATTCAAGTTTTAATACTCACCCAGCTTTTTTTCAACAAATCAACATGGCGCTGAACGATCGCTCGCACAAAATGTGGCCACAAATTCGCATTCTGTCAAGTATGAAACGTTGAGATTTGGGCATGGGCCGCTAGTGTTTTTACTGTATAATCTTATCAATAAAGTACATGCTAATATTGACACAGAATTGTGCACGCGTCTGAATTTCTTTCACCTTAAAACTCGACAAAGACGCTTTTAAGTTTTCGAAAGTTGGATCAGACAACTTTTAAAAGACTGAAATGTATCACCTTAATGTCACATTTTCGCCACCAAAAAGTTGAATAACAACGTGCGGGTTATCCACCAGAGCGGGTAATCTGTTGACTTTTTTTTTCGCCGTATGCAATAATCGGCCGGTGCGGGTAATCGGCCGTGCGGGTAAACGACCGGAAATTACGGTAAATCATCATGATATGCATGACTGTATGTTGAATATGACTGTTTATGAAAATGAAAACAATCTTTGCAGTAATAAACACCTTTAAAGTAGTTGTTAAAATAAGGCTTGAACCCATGACCTCTGCAATACCACTGCCATGCTCTATTGAGCTGACATGCTAACTGGTTGCTGGGTGTTATGTTACTTTGTAGTAAACCCAGATTAAGAAATGAATATGAAAGTGATCTTCCCAGTAATGAACACTACCTAAGCAGTAGTGAAAACAGATTATTAATAGAGACTTCAGGCCCTTGTTACATCTGAAGAAAATAACCACTAGCTTGTAGTAACTAAAAGAATACTTATTTCTCCATTCTACATAGAGACATCTCTAATGACTGGCAAAAAACGGCACAACTTCATCCTTCTGAAAAAGGTGTTTTAGGTTGAAGAGAGTAAACAAGGATAGGCTTGAGCAAACAACAGTGTACCTTCAAAGTCAGAAAAGGCAAGCTTCTAAGTAAATCTTAAATTCTTGGAAAAGACTAATTTCTTAGATTGATACATATTCATCTTTCTTCCTCTTGATATCTGAAAAATGTTGTTAAATTAACTTTCTGTAGTTTTTAGATTTACGACAATCTTGGCTGAAACATGGCTTAAAATTTAAGCAATCACAAATTAAACACTCATTTTAGAGCACTCACTTTCTAGTGACCTTAAGATTGTCAACCTATGAGAGTTCTGAGGGTACATGTAGTTTAAGTAAGGAGGATGACCATCTATGTATGAAATTTTATAAAAAAAAAAAAGGATCTAGATGAAGTAATTAAAAGAACCAATTGTACATGTAAAAAATATGATGTACCTTAACTTGTGAATACTTGTTTCCTTCACATTCTGTTGCAGCTGTAAGGAAAAGTAATTTTATTAGTATACAAAATGGTAAAATTTGATAAAAAAAACACCTTTTACCACTGTCTTATAATCACATGCACAATAAAAAGCAAATGTACACATATCCACACAGTTAACTTACAAAATCTAGTAGTTTTATCACAAATTTACCTTCACTTAACTGAAAACAATATTACCTAAGTTAGGTTCACTTGAGCTTTTAGGACCTCTTAACTTCATCAGTCCTTTGCCAAATGATGCCCTAATTCCATGCCTTTTCCTATTTGCAGGACTAGCTGGAGGTGTTTCTGTCTTCAGTGCTCTTAAGCTAGGTGTCACTGGATTGTTTACAGCTTGGGTGTATGATTCTGGAACAAAAAAATTAAAATTATAATATAATCTGAATTCGTGATATTGTCATGTGCTTAACCAGCTACTGTTTGCAAATGGAGTAACAAAAGAGAAAACTTTTTTTTTTTCTAAATAATAACATAGAAACAAATGTATAATGATTAACAATAGAATAATGAGAAGTTGGTCTCTGAGATGATTGACATAATTTGAATGTGGACCTACATCTCCTTCAATAACATGTACAATAATTATCACTGTGCAACAAAATACTTCTATGTACACTTTTAAGTTCTAACTTATCTTTAAATTGACAAACCTAGTAAAAAAAAAAAAATGAAATTGAATGTAATGGGTGTGTGGACTACTAATCCATATCAGTAAGTACACTGTATAATAAAATAACCTGTGAACAATGCTCGACTCTGTCTTGGAGTGGTAACATATGGCTCTGGACTGCTGGTACTGCTGGTTGTTGTTACCATGTCAGCACTTTGTATGCTACTGCTGTCAATACCATCCAATGAAACAACTGGACTACTATCCAACTCCTTTGATTGATTTGCTTTCATCAGCATTTCTTCAATCTACCACCCAAATAACCATTTCATTGTTGTTGTTCAGGCATTGACAATATTCATCTTCAATTTGAAATTCATTACAATGAAAATGAGAAATATAATGACTCATCCAACAAGCAATCTTCACTCTTTGAGTTTCACTGCCTCACAATCCAAATCAGGATAGAAAAAGACTCCAATTTTCAAAGTTTCATAATAGCATAAAGGCATACTGATTTTATAACAAAGTTTCTAGTATTTCATTTGATTGGCTCTTGCATGTACACTTTACATTATATCTGTCTACTGTACTTACTTACATAACAACCTGTCTTAATTGATAAGTAAACTAATTTGTGAGGTGAATAGGAGCTGAGCATGTACAGTGGTCTTGCAATGTACTCAGAGAACAACTCCTGTCTAACTAACCATACAGTACTGCTCACATTTACTGCAGCACTGCACAGTCCCATGTCAAGCATGTGTAATGCACAGTACATGTGAGTGGTATTGTAATTCTTTTTTCATCTTTCATGCAAACCCTTTCCTTCGAACAATGGTGCAGTTTCTAACAAGACAGTAAGATGTCAATTGAGGGACACACTACAGCTGTTAATGATTTGAACCAGGAAATTAACAGTTGATAAAATTGTCTCTTCTCACTTCTTAACCTATGGAACTAACTGCAGTGATTTTAAAAACTGCCTTACAAAGCTGTAAAATCCTGGTACAGACTATTCTAGACAGATGTCATAGACTACAGACTTAAAACACTCAAATGGCATTAAATGGACTCCTTACTTGACTTTGATGATGACTCATACTCAGGTTGTGTAAAGGTCAGTCACCACTAGAAACAATCCCAACACTTGACAAACTATCAAAATGTGTCTGCAACTGCATTATTTCATAGAATAGTTTGTGATTTAAACAGGCACTTACTCTCTTGAATTTCACAAGAGTTTGCTGAAGTTCTTGAAATTTTTCATCCTTTTCCTTACAGGCAACTGTTAAGGTTTCAACTTCCATTTTTAGGTGGTTTACCTCAGAAGCTGTGATGATTCAAGATAATTATTTAATTAATGATAATAACCATTATGATAATTTTATGGATGATAAAGATGATGATAATGAAGTAAGGCCTAAGTACTACACAGGTTAGAGGTTTTGCACATGGGTAAAAATTATCCTAACAATGTTTTTTTTTCTCTGTTTGAGACCCCAACCCTCACCATCAACTGATTATAATTAGAGACCAGCCTGTCTTCCTCCATTATTTATGAGTTTTAAACATGACAGCCTAAAGGCCATTCAGCAAGAAATTACATATGATTGTTAGCATCTGTTCCCCTTGCATTTACTTTATATCAATCTTTCATGGTACTTATGAAAACAAGGTGAACTTAGATTTCATTTCAGCTCATGACAAGTCTTTAACTGTTGTGCCTTATCAAAGTCATCAGCACTTCAGAAACTTGTAGCAGGTGAAAGTGCTGACAGCCTGGAGAATCTTGAAGTGTTTCCCAATTTACCCCAGTTTTGGTTCTGTTTCCAGTTTCCTTTCTGCTGCAGCAATTCTGGTTTTCCATATGCCCATTTTTTTGTGGTGTACATGAGAAACCATTCAGAGAAACATAGTTTCCATGACTTAAAAAAAAAGTTTCTGGAGAAGGTAAATAAGCTTATTTATGGCTTACCATTAATTAACTTAATACCTACCTTTTTCTCTGAGCTGAGATTTAAGTGCAGAGGCTGGTTGACCTGAGGAAAGATTAGTTTGAAAAAACACTTTGAATTTGTGCCCCTAAAATTCTCCAAATATATGGACATATATTTCTGTTATCAAAAAATTTGATACAGCAGAACTTATACACAAAGTAAGGTTTTAAGAAAGGTCTACCAATTTAGCTCTGTGTATGTGCATAACAATACTTGTTTGATTTTATCACGGAAGGGTCATTCAAGGGCACCCTGCTGGTATCAAGTTTCCCTCATGATTTACAATACTGCAGTGTGTTACTGATTTGACAAATTCTTTCATCAAACCAGTAGCAATTTCAATAAAGTTTCTGAAAAAATAATGGATGTTGCAAACCATATTGGAAAAAATTGAGTACTTTTAAGTAATATCTTTTTGTTGCTATTGATGCAGCGATCACAACAGTGAACTTAACATAATTCATGAAATTTGAGCTTGGATCAGAAGTCACTGGTTGCTTGATAACTTTCTTTGCAACCCATACAGTTCCAGCAGCCAATCCAGTCAATGTAGCTGAGGCTCACAAGCTTACTATCAGACATTTTTGGTAAACAGGCCTGTAGGGGGTGGGCCTCCAAGAGGCAATCTGTGGTTGTGTGTTTCGCTGCATTTCACGTTGCTGTGCTTGAGGCTGTGGTTGTGGTTTATTAATGAGAGCCACCAACTCTTTCCTTTTATAGTACAGTCCAGCTAGTGAGAAAACTGCACTTGCTACTGAAAGAATTTGAATGCGTGAGAGTGATGATGATGTTTCTGGTTGTAATCCTACACCTGTGGTGCTTGCCTCTTTAAGGCTTTGATCCTTCCAATCTTCAGGTTGTTTTGAACCTCTTTTCTTCTTCTTTCCCTCTCTCACTCTTCTGTTGTATTCAGCAAGTTTTTGCCAGCTGCGACATGCCCTGCAACTTTATTTGGTTTCATCTTGTTTTTATTAGTTGAAGTCACCTGTTGAGCCTCTGTGAGGTCTGGCCAAAGGCTAGTTGGTGCTTCTTTAGTCTTGGGTTCTTTGCCATTCATTCTATTTGTTGATGTATAATTTTAAAGTTCTCATTCAAGTTCTTATTCAAGTACTTATTTAAATACTTATTCAAGTACTTACACAAGTTCTTAGACAAGTTCTTAGACAAGTACTTTATAAGAACATATTCAGTTTCTCCACAAATACTATCCTTTCCCTTATCATTAACCAAGGGTAGTTCAACGTTTTTGACAGCAAGAAGAACAGCACTTGCGATTGTCATGTACCTTCCAAACTTAAGACTCAATCCTCTCACAATCATTCTGAGTTCTCTCTTTAGCATAAAGTTGTCATTCAAGTCCTTCAGAAGTTTCCCTTCATCAACAAGGAAAAAATGAGCCAATGCTGAACATGAGAACTGAACAAATGTATCACCATGGCATCATGAATCTTTGAAGACAATGAAGCTTCAAATCTCTTGAAGTACTTCTCAACATCTTGTTCAGAAAGCTTCTTGACTTGATCCTGGGTGAGAGATACACCAATCATTTCCTTCGCTTTTCCACTTGCAATAACAACAGTGAGCTGGTCACAATGTTCAGAACCGCTTCCTGGTTCAGCTGTTAGAATGTTCAGAACATTATTAACAGCATCTTTTTCCATGTCAATCATCTTCATTTTAGTTAAGAAATAAAAATATTTTCATGAAAGTTCAAGATCAATGCAATAAGGATAGCGACATGTGAATATGAGATGTGAGTACTTCTTACTCTTGAGCTTTGTGATCAATTCCTTCTGCTCATCTTTCATCAACTCAGCTGCATAATCCCTGAAAATGATCTTCATATCCTTGACTTCCCTGTGAAATGGCAGTGGTCCCTCACTTTGTCTGCCTTTGGCTGGGCAGCAAAGCAGTCCAGACCTTTGCAAATCCAGCTTTGCTTTGCTTTTTTGAACTTTAGCCCATCCTTACAAGTGAAGATCATCTTCTTGGCAAAATCAAATTCCTTATGAATATTCTTGATGTTCTCCTTAAGCACTTCAATGAAGATCTGAGCAACATCTTCGCTCTCACTCTTTGGTCTGTAGATCACTGGCCCTTGTGAATAAAGCTTATCATCGAAGCAAACAATGTGATAGCCAAACCCATGTGGTTTGTGCTTCTGGTGTTTATTTCTAAAGCTATAATCACTCTATTGCTCACAACCACTTATTGGTTTAGTACAAGCCTCAAAGTCAGCATTAACCACAAAGGGTACTCTTATTGGGTGGTTATGATTCTTGAATTTGATTACAATATCTTATCTGGCATCTCGATCCTGACTGCATTATTTCTTGAGCAATACTCTTTGTGGATTGCAAGCTTTTCTTTGCTTGAGAAGTGGCTCAGATACCTGAGGCAATATTGTTTCCCTTTCTTATGCCTTGAGACTTGACTCCATAGTGGCCTGCTCATGTTGTTTATCAGGAAGTAGTGCTTCTTTTCACCTGCTAGCTCCTCTAGCCAGGGTTGCACAGGGGGTCTGGCTGCCTAGCACCTGTAAGAAGAAGGTTTATCACATGCTTCCTATTTTCCTTTTTACTGATCCTCAATGGATAAAAATCAAACCTTCCACCAGACCTCCAAGAGGCTCTTTCATAACCAAGAATGTTTACTACAATGTTTTCATTCTGCTTTTCAAACTTGCATATCTTGTCAAGCTCAACAAGGAAATTGATACCACTCCAGTCGAGCTTCTCGATTGTGCTTTAAGGACTTTTGTGATCCTTTGAGGATCTTTCTCAACCACGTTACATGCTCTTGTTATGCACCACTTAAAACACTGATTATTTGCATTTTTAATGTTCTAAACTGCTCTCTTACTTTGAATGAATTCTGGGATTTCAATGTAAGAGTTGCTGTTCAACAGTCTGTATTCCACAAGATGGATGTCAAGAGATGTCACTCATTGAAATCTCCAATTGCTTCCTCTTTGATTAAAATTTTGAATTCTTTCTTGAAGTGTCAAATTCTTCAGATTCATTAGATGCTTCAAGATTTACAATTATGTTGCTTTGGAAATGAGGATTCAGAAGTTCAACATTTTCATTGAATAATTCTTCTCTAACCATCTCACAATTAAAAATAATCATGTCTCTTGAGCTACTCAATTCCCTTTCATTAGCCTTAAGACTTCAGGTTTTGCTCTTTGCCCTTTCAACCCAGTCATTCTCTGAGGAAATAACCATGAGAATTAAAACAGTCTGAAAAAATTCCAGACTCAATCAAAGTCATTACATCACACATGGGAGAGCAAAAATGGTTTCACTTTGACATTAATCAAGCAATATATAACCTTGATAATAAGGATATCAGTTGAATGGAGAGAGAGTTGGATTATTACAAGATTGTATTTGAAGAGTACTAGAAAATATTGAGAATGGAGAGAACCCAAAATAGATTGGAAATAGAGATAAAGAGAAGTGATGAAACTAGGAATCTGAAAGATGAATTAAAGAAACATCAACAAAGGAGGACAGCAAGCAACCAAGAAACTGAACAATAATGGTTCGTGTGAGGAAGTAAGACATTCTGAACACAACTGATTGTGAAGATAAATGAAAAATAGGTGAAATTAACCCTGGATAAATCTTGTAAAATCTAAAATGTATGATATGACATGCAAGAAAATAATTTTTGAAATCACCTGCCAATGTCTTCATATGGGCTTTTGCAAAAACAAAAGGGTATCCAGTCAACTCGCTGACGGTTCAACTCACCAACACCAACTCACCTACGCATAAAATCTAGCAGAGACGTTGGCGAGTTGGTCTTCAATCCAGTACAACTTATTAGAAGATAGACATATAGAAAAGTAAAAGATATTTAGTGAAAAAACAATTTTGTTTTCTTCCAACAAAGTTTATAAGGATCTCATGGTGAATAAAGCAAGGTAAACATCGCCAATGAATATAAAAGCTTCAGACACGAATTATAACTTGTTCACCAGCTGAAATCTGCAAAGAGACTCATGTATTCCCAAAGCTTTACCTGCTGACAAATCACAACCGACTAGTTCAGGATATGCAGATTATTATGCTGCCCGCTGATTAAATGGGCACTGCAAGTACATGTCGCGAAAGACAATAGCATTCTGGGCGATGAAGTATGTAAAAGGTAGCCAAGGGGAGGGGGGAAGTCTTGTCCAATTTCTGGCATAAAATTAAACAAAAGTCAAGAATTGTGCGTACTTAAATTTAAATTTCCAAATGAAAATATCAATCTCAACTTAATCTAAAACATAAAGGTGACTAAGACACCAGGTGACCATGAATATCAAGAAAAAGTTGTGGTTCATCATCATGGCAGAAAAAGTAGACATTTTAAACAAAAATAAACCAGGTTAGAGCACTTTTAATCTCCAAGTAGAATAATAAACAATCCCCTTACTGAAAACTTTTTCAACTTAAATGCAGTGTGTCATTCACCCTTATACACAATCACAAGATGACAAGAGACAACATAGTGGCCACTTTCCATCTTGTAGTCTGATTCATAATTCTTTTTTGTTCATTCACACACTTACAAGCTCCTTTTCCTTTCACTCATGTAACTCATTATTTGGGTATTTTTTATGGTGAGCATCAAAGTGAGCAACTAAAGCCCACATTTGAGTGACACAAGCTAACAAAAATGATGGCCAGTGATAGAAACCCTTACTTTTTCAACCATTCTAACCTGGTGTGCTACCAGTTGTTAAAGTTGATCAGCCAAATTACCCTAATTAGTTCCTTCCCCAGAGGAACACATACATGCAAAAGACCAAGCCAACCCAACCAAACTAAAACAAGGGGCTTAAATTCAAGGTGGGATGTGGTATACCAGAAATTTTAAAGGCAAAATATGGGATGAAAATAGGAAGACAAGGCCAGGATATGCTCCATTTGAAGGCAGGATAGGGGATAGGATGGGTATAAGCAGGATCATAATTAAATGACTCAGTAGCATATCCAGTTTCACTGTGAAAGTTTCATTGCAGTGGGATGGCAGAATGAAATAAAAAACAGCAGCAGGATGTGGGATTGGAAAACTCTAAAGCCACTGATCCCAATAGAGCATGACGTATGTGTAGGGGTATGTGTTAAACACAGCCACTAAAGTATGTCCCAACTACCAGTTAAACTCTCAAAGGCAGCTTGTTAATCACTGAAATAAGACAGTTACTGTATGCACAGTGCACAACAACTCACTCAGGAGGGCAACACTGATAGCTTTACTTTGTCCCAGAGACAAAAAATGTCACTAACACAGGTATATGTTCATGTATTTAGAGCACACATTGGATTAATTGATATGGTTATCATATCATCGAGTCAATAACTTGGAAATATTCTGTTAACACTTTCTTGTTGAAATGGACTTAAAGCTTCATATGTTTTGACACACATGTAGTTTGAATACGTTTTACATTCATACCAAAACATGTATGCTGACAAAAGAGGTTTGAAACAAATCAATGTTCCAACATCAGAAAAAAAAAAGCTGTTACATTAGAGTGAAACCTCCCTGTGGCATATATTGATTTTGCCAAAGGACGAAGTGGCCCACATAATATTGCCCAAGTAGAAAATGCATTGATCATTATAGTTAATCAGCATTTACGACACAACCTCTGTATGGTTATATTAACCAACCAAAATATCTGTGGCTGAGACATCTAAAACAGAAATTTTATACAAGATGTCTGAATATGAAAAGTCGGACCATGATCAACACAAATACAACATGTCTGACCATGCCAAGTCAAACCATGAATGATCAACACACATTCTGACTTACATTCTTTGATTTTACACTAATTTGAAAGATTAGTTACTTCTTGAAATGAGTCCTCATGAATCACCCAAACATTGTTGCCTTGTTGTGAAAAAAAAACTTATGAGGCAAGAACTGAATGGTTCAACAAGCAACAATGACCTTCAAATGCACATATATTTCAATATTTAAACTGTACTGATTATCAATGCATTGGCAAATGATAACATGTTCCATCTCTTAATTTTTTATTATTCTTATACAAAATCTGAGTTTTCAATCAAAAATCAAACAGGAAAACCATGAATACTGAAGAAAACTTATGAAAGCACCCTAACAAAACTGTAAACAAAATCCCAGTGTCAAAATGCAGACTATCAATAAAAGTTTGTGTTGCAAAATGTACTGTCTTTAGACATGTTGTGTTAATTTTTGGTCCACACCCACAGTGCCCCACAGAAGACATTTGATTTTTGTGATTGCAAGTAACAAACTGGTGATCAAGTAACTGGTCATCTGGGCTTACAACTTGTGATCGCAACTTAAAACTTGCAATCGCACCTTATAACTTGCAAGCCCAACTTAAAGCTTGCAATGACAACTTACAACTTATAACCAAACAAATGCCCATCAAGATGTATAATGTAAATAAAATTTCAATAGAGAATATGTGACTAGTTTAAAATAATTGTAAAACTTACAAATAAAGAATTTGTTTAATTTATTCTGTTGTGATATTTGTGTGTGGACTGAAGACTAAAGACAGGGGGGCACAAGACTCGATTTTGCATTTATTGAAAAGATGGATTGTATAACCTCTTATGCAAGAACTGCATTAATTGTATGTGTTTGTCCCTTCTTGTATAAACTTTTTAGCTTTGAATATGAACACTTAAATGTTAAGTGGGTGTACACAATCATTTCTGACAGACACCAAGCAAAATTTAAACATCGAAAGCTTTTTCTTAATGCAACTCTTAACTAACCTTCCAAATTTAATTGGAGGTGGCTTAACAACTTAATAGAAATGTTTTGATAATTGATCAGTGCAACATTATACGTGGGCAGTATCCCATGAGCAACATCATTTCTGGGCAAAATCAATGTTAGTAATTCCTCCCTAAACCTCTGTCCAATGGCCACTTTGGTTTATCTCCACAGTATCCCTAATGTGGAGAGGTTTAACTGTATACAAAAAGGTCTGCACATGCCATGAAGAACCTCATCATAAAAAAATAAGAAGTTCACCTTGATGTAGCTACTTATAAACTCATTTCAAATGTTACCTTCACTGTGATGTGATCTGCTAGCTATTTCCTGCTCATCAAGAAGGACTTCAATGTGGTCTTTCAACATTTCAATTTCCATTTCTTTTTCAGCTAGAAGAGCCTCTTGGTCTTCCTTGAAAATTAAAATAAGCTCAACTGAACCTATTTTTCAAGGGCTTGGGTCTCAGGTCTTAGGTTCTGGTTTTTTAGACACCCAAGTTCTCTCCCCTTGAAAGTCAATGACAAACTGATCATAATCAAATACAATTTCAACATGCATATTGTTTCTTTTACTGACTGTGCTTTAATTTTATTACCTTTTATTCCTATCAATCTCTTTGGTATGCAATGGAGAAACTTTGACATACTTTCAAAACCTGGTTTTGCACATTTGCCAAAAATTTAGAGTGACACATTTTCTTGTTGGTTTTTACATAGTTTGGTACCATGGCAGAACTAGTTACTGATGGGGGCCCTTAAGTTTCTCTTCACATGTGTATTATCTTTTCAATATTCAAATGCAAATAGGAGGTAAAATGAAGTTGTCCATCTGTTAATTATGTTAAATAAATGCATCACTCAGCAAAATTAATACAGAGAATGAATCCAACATAAAAAATATTTCAGTCTATAACTGTGTGTTTTCACAAAGATGGCCATACTGTCAGGCTATGGCTTTACGATAGCAATGCAAAGGAAATGAATAATGAAATTTTTTTTAAAATTTTGTCTGATGATCAGTCACTTGGTGACTTTGCTTGAAAGCTTCCACTCAGAAAGTCACTCAGAAAGCTGGAATGATGGTAACCATTCAACTCTGTGGAATAATAAATGCATACCTCTGGTGATCTACAAAAATGAGACAAATAATATCCTGTTTCTATCAAATTTCCGTTTGCAAAATTCATCCAATGTGGAGACTGTGATTCAAATCTTTCTTTGCAATTTATCTCACAGTCACTCAATGAACAATTGCATTGTAAGAGGATGATCTTTGTTTAAAAGATTTTCTTCCACATAACAATCCTTAAAGTTTTTTGCCTTTGCATGATATACCTCAGAATGCATTTTATGTGATTGCAAGTTTTTTAAATGATTGAAATTAATAATAAAAGGCATGTGGCAAAAAAGTTTTTATTACAAGATTTCTTCTATTAGAATTTCACTGACAAGATAATTTTTGTCAGCTACAGTATTACTGATTGATCCAGCTGCCAGTGTTCATGTAAGGTAACTGAATTGAACCAATTAGCCAATAAACTTTAATCCTTTCCACAGTTCATATTTTATATCAGATCCCTAACAATCAAAATAATTGACAGTATTGGGTTAATATTTTTTGGTCACTTAAAAGGTAGCACTTAAGGTAACAGTGCTAAGTATAAACTTTATTGTAATAAAGTTTAGATGTAATGCATGCTGCCATTGGTTGAAAGATTATATTCCATCAGATAACAAAGCAAGGAGCTGTTCTAATGCTGTCACAATGTCTGCCAATTTGTTAACTTTATTTAACTGAAAGTGAAATTTCAGAAAAAGCGAGCCACTAGTAGCAACAGAAGACCCAAACAAAGGCTTGTGAACATACCATGTACTGTAATTGACATTATCATGACACAGGAAGAAACTAAAATTGAAATTCTACAAGAGAACATGAAATAGACTGTTTGAGTTTTGAAAGTTTTCATGCTCAATTGGATTAAAAGCTTTTTTACCATTAAAATTCAAACACAACTAATGCTCGCATAGTATATATAATTTTGTGTTCAAAAACAAAACAGAACAAACCAGGAATGATGAAAAATACAACCAAAATGGCAAACTGTTAAAATTCATAAAAATCATGATAGTGTGAGAGCAACTGCCATCCTTGCATTACTTACTATTTCGAAAATAGTGAGTAATGCATAGGGAATTTGACGGATTCTTTAAATTCATAAAACAAATAAAGAAGACTTGACTGTGCTCTGTTCTGTTGTAAAGCACTTAGGAAGCAGTTCAAGAGATAGGGAGAAACGTACACTACACTACATCTCGCATTTTTGCCCCTTACACTTCTTTTGTGTTCTAGCTGTGTCCTACATGCTTTACAACAAAACAGAGCACAGTCAAGGCTTCTTTAATTGTTAAACAAGCCTGATTCCCCTATATGTGTGTTTACTAGAGTTTAGGACACCTTTTGACCACAGTTTCTACACTTGTGTGAGTAAGTAAGCAAATTACTTATTTGCACGTTAGAGTTACCATAAAAACTTGTTTCTACCCCTTACATACCAGGAGTTAAATTTGAAATGAGTCACACAACTACAATAGTGCAAAATAGATTAGAGCTAACAATGGAAAAACTCAACAGAAGCAACATGAGCTAAAGTACCTTGCATCCTATAGATTCTGTCTGTGGTGTACTATGAGGAGCCTTTTTTAAAGATGAGATTTCTGTCACAAGCTGTAACTTTTCATTTAATAAATTTGTGGTTTTAATTATCTCCTGGAAATAAAGAATCAGTAATGGGCATGGTCAATTCAACTAACGAACAAATAACTACATGTGTAACTAACTGACAAATTAAACAACTCTTCAGCTGACTCCACAGTTGACTCACATTAAGTTTGTCTGAGCATCATTTGCTCAGGCACCTAAGATAACTATGAATTACATATTGTTATTTTCACTTTCAATGGCTCTAAGGCACGGGTATCTGTTAGTGCTGAACAAAGTGGAACATATCACCCAAACCTTACCAGCCAGATTTAAAGATGTTTATTTATGGTTAGGGACTGGTTATAAAGTAATAATTTATACATGGATAAAGGGATGTGCCAAAAATGTTGCCAATGAACTTGTGAGTATGTCAAGTCTCTAAAAAGAATAAAATCACTTCGAACAACAGTAAAAAAAGAGGAACTCACACTCTCGAGGAATTGTTCAGCCTCTTCTAATTTTATCTGCAGCTCCTCCTTAGTAAACTCAAGATCTCTTATTTTTTCACCTTGTGCTTCCACTTGATCTGTTAGTACGCTTACTTGCAAGATCAAAGATTCTTTTTCGTCCTGTAGTCTGCTGATTTGCAACAGATGTTTCTCAGCGCTCGTCATCGTTTGCTGTTCGTCTTTTTGCAGATCTCTGTTGGATGTCACCTAGACAATAGATCATTTAAGATTCACTTAAAATCCAGAGCGAAGAAAAAATGAAATACCGTGATTTACATCCAAATACCTTTGGAGAATGTAACCAGTCAGTAAGAAAGGCGATTGTTGAACCAGAAATCTCGATCGTGCACTCGACTGCATCATCCTTAATCTCTTCGAGTAGTCCTTTGAGTTCCTCCAACAAGGAAACAACTTTCTCTTTTGGCGAGCAAGCGTGAGGTTGGGTCTTCAGGCTTTCCATAATAAGTTGGTCGTCAGAAATAAGACCATCCATTTTCTGTAAGGCTTCAGCTAACATAGTCGCCGCATCGTTTGCCACAGCAGCCATCTTGAACCTGAGTAAGTAATTTCCGATTTCGTCAGCCTCGTTCATATGCCGGAAAGGAACTTGCGGCATGTAAGGGAAGTTCGAAATTTAATAGCCATTAAGACTTCCAAAACTAAAGCCTCTTATTTGACCCGCATATGCCTCTAGAGGATCAAAGACTTCAGCAAAGGCGGAATTTACCAATGTTTGTTCGGCCTAAGACCTTACTTGTTAAGTTTCATCTTCCTTCAATCATATCTTTGACCATTAAGAGAGATCACAACAGACAAGCGACCAAGTTCACAGGGTGACCTGCAGTTGAGGTCATTGCCGGAAAAAAACGCGTGAAGGCTCAAAAGCAGGCTCAAAGGGTTCAAGAAATGTTCTGCGGACGACATTTAGGGAGAGGGAGTGGAAGAGCAAGCTACGATGAATACCCCCTTGAGGAGTTCCTCGGAGTTATATCTAAGTAGAAGTCGCGGTCAAAAGATTGATAGTTTTTCACATCGTGTAAACAGTCATAAGCTGTCACGAACGCGTTTTCCAAATTTGGCAGTCTAAACATTTTTGATAGTTTGCTCTTTGATCCATTGCAAGCTAAATGTAGGTAAAAGAGTGGAGCTTCTAATATTTCTTGTCTTTGTTTCCAGTGGTGCACAGTGGTGTGATCATTTCTCGGATTTATCAAGAAAAAAGTTGCTCAGAAGTAAGTCTTGTTTATATTTTAACTGTCTGGTAACGTGATGTTGGTAATGAGCACTAATCTTCGACTATTTCACACGGTGTGGAAATTTAATTACGACCCGCGTTTCATTCCGTTAGCTTATGTATCGCTTTTATTTATTCTTTTTTAAGATTACTCTGTATTTTTTTCTGAAAGCTGTTTTGGCCATCTCACGAGACTTCAGCGGAAGCAAGTCTTTGTATGATATATTTAAGGGCATAGTCTCTTGTTTTCGAATGAGGCCGTAAATATGGTTACGGCTCTTTTTTCCTCTCATGTGTGCACATAAACTGATGTCTCTGTTAAATTTAAAAAGCTCTTTAACCTCAACTCGTGGATAAAGTAATAGTATTTTATTTTCTGCGATTGAAATCCGATCTGCCCTTTGATCTTGATCAAAATTACTACCCTTTCGGCTTAACGAGAGTTTGTTTAAAACAGGCAGTTTATACTGAGATTGCTATTCTTATAAAATATTTTACTCGTCTTTTAACGATTATTTTGCGTGTAACTTCGAGGGCGATATCTTTTTGATAATGAGACTAACAGGAATTACTCTTCGTGGATGTGTGTAGGGTCTTAACCATGGCGGAGGGTGGTTTGAAAGGCTCTCGCTCAGCTGAAGGTAAGATCAACTGCATCATAACTTAAGTATTGATCTACTGTGGCTAATATTCACATCAACGTCCCCTACGTAGCTCACGAATGTCGATTGTAACTAAATCGTGGAAAAAATTGCTTTAACTCTTAATTTTAGGTGAACAGAATTGTGCGAAGAAGTTTGGGGTGTACATTTACTATTAATGTGAGACGTCCCGTCGTGTAAATGGATTTAATTCTTCATTGCTTTGGGGCCGTTACTCTCAGTCTACGGTTCCAAAATCTTGATGACGTGATACTAAAGAAGAGTGTTCTGTGGTTAAAAAAGCTAACCTGGTGGCAACTTAAATGTGAAGGGCATCTTTTATACCTGAGCTTGACCTGTGAGAAACTTCTGGGTCAGGTTTCATTGCTGGCTCAGGGGTTAATCATAGGCACCCTATGAGCAACATGTTTGATACAGCACCTGAGAGATTACATAGAACTGAAGACAGGAGGTTCAATTTCTTGTCAGTGGAAAAATTCAATTTTTCTGCAGTTCCAATTGGTCTGCATTGAACAAGAATGCCCAGTTGCTCCTTTTATCTTGAATACATTCTGATAGATTGACCCCCCTCCCCAGCCAAAAAAAGAGAAGAGAGGGAGAGTGCTAAAACCTGGAACAATGGAAAATGCTGGAGCAGAAAACAACAGAATTTCTAAAAATAAAATCAAATGTAAAATATGATAAAAAACAGTAAAAACTCAATTTAAGTGTAGCTCACACTCTTTGTGCATCAAGTCCATAGACTAGTAACCCTGTTGTTGGTGTGTTCAATTCCCAACATGGAGAGTGGTGGGTTAACATTCTTTTCACTTGCAATTGTAATCCACTGTAATCACCTCAGCTATGATGTTGTGCACAAGGTGGAAGAATTTGTTCACTAAAAAACCAAATTAATTTTTGGAATCACAAGAAATACATTGATACTTTTTAAAAATTTCAAGGAACCTTTCAAAGGCATTTTGGAGAAAATTTCTGACTGCCAACATGTTGGGAATTGAACACATACAAAGGAGTTATGGGTCGGTGGAAAAGCAAGATGGTGGACTTGACACTTGAAGAGAGTAAGCTACACTCAAATTGAGTAATTGAGTATTTCATATATATATATATATATATATATATATATATATATATATACATACAGTTCAAAATGACTAAAATGAAACACGCATGATTCCCTGTAACTCTGAGTTTGTGCTTACGCACTCGTCAGACAGATTTATCTTATTTATTTTAGATTATTTAATTTCACAAGGTTCTGGCATGTTCTGGAATGTTCTTGTGTTCCAGCTTGTACCTGTGTTTGGGGTTTTTAGCACATACCAAATTTTCTATGGCAGACTATTTTTAAAAAGTGACATTTTTGTGGGTAAATGACCTTGAAATGGGCTGAGATTCACAAAAGTTAAGTTAAGGTTCATGTTTCCCTAACAAGAATTTTTCAGTTGTGAGATGTCTTACTAATGCAATATGAGGTCAATAGTGTGAAACTGGGTCATTACTTTGTACAAGAAGGCTTATGCACTATCACACTTAGTTAAAAAAAAAAAAAACCCCAGGATAAAAAGAAAAGTTTCTAGGATAATAAATTTAGGTATGTTACCTTCAGGTATCAAACCAGGGACAATCTGCTATCAAACCACCTCTGATATCTAAACTCCAGGATAATGTCAATGTCTACACTAGAGTGGGTTGTGGACCTGCATATCAACTTGTGATAAAATTCCTTTCTATGCTAAGTGTATTACTTCATCCGCTGTATGGGTTGGAATCTGACATGAAGTTTCATTTAACTTTTAAACTTTGTGCATATTAGGATCATAGTTCAACCTTTTAACCCTTTAACTCTCAGAAGAGATGAACATGCAACTTCTTCCTTTTATATCAATACTCAAACTTACTTGGTAGAGGCTTTTATCTTGATCTATCACCAATTTGTCTTATTAATTCACAAGGAAAGGTGCACTGTAGCAGTGTGAAGGGAGAACAACACTCAGAACTTGGGAGTTAAAGGATTTAGAATGCTAAAAAGGAATTTTTGTATAATGTGGTTATTATTTTGAAGCCATTGACTGAAATTATCAGACCGTTAAGGACAAAGAAATTCAAGTCCTTTGAAAGGGTCTCTAAGATCAGCCATAATGCAATCATTCCACGCGAATTAAGCAAAATGCCCAGTTGCTGTGACTTTGTCATGGATTCGAAACTCGGACTGTCAGAAATTCAGATTGTGGATGGTTTCTTTTGGGATGTAGGCACAGACAGTTCTTTCAATGGGCAGTTATGTGAAGCCATATGGTTTTGGTATGGTTAGATCAAAGGGCAAGGATTAATTTCACATTTATGCCTATTTTCAAATTTTTTGTCAAAATTGCTTGAATAACAAGGGTGGTTTGGAAAACTTTGACGGCAGAGTTAAAGTGAATTCTTAATTGCTAAGGGTACATTGGAATTACTTGCTTATCATGGTGAGGGTAAAAATTTGGAAGTTACATTGAACTGACTGTGATTAAGAATAGTAGCCAGTAGGAAAATGACCTTTTAAAGTTGACTTAAACACTCACAGATCAACCAGTTTCTTTAAATTTGTATACTCAAGTGATTTGGTGTGGTCCTCTATCAAAGGAACAATTATTACTTTCAATTGACTCAGTTTTACTTGTATCTATCCAAAGGGTTACACGAAAAAGATAAACCTGGCAAACTATCATCTGACCTATTAAACAAGTTCAAATCAGATCCTGCATTGACTTGCCTACAGCCGTTACCTGTGGGACATGGCCTGCTTAGTGCACAATCTTTCACATCAAGTTCTGAGGAGATGTCAACCTCACAAGGAAACATTAAATTAGCTCAGACAAGTGCCGTAATCAAAGTCCCTGACAACAGCAGAGACCCTCTCTCACCCAGCAGTGGTGATGAGGATATACTTTCTGATGATGAAACAGGCACTACCAAAGATAAAAAGAAACGGAAATCCAGGTGGAAGTGGAGTCCTTTGAAAAGGATGAAAAAAATATTCAGAAGAAAGAAAAGCCCCACACGAGTTAAATCTTGTGAGGAAATTCCAGCAGAGCATTACAAACCAACTTTTGGGGTCTCATCACTGGAGGATGATGCCTCATTAAGGAATCGTACCAAGTCAGAACCTTCCTTAGCTGAGGCAAAAACTAAGAGTCCACAAGCTGTTGTTGAGTTGCATGAAAGAAGAAACACTTTTGACAATCCTGTCCAAACAGAGCAGAGTAAGCCTATGAATAGGGTAAGTAGTGCAGTAGGAGGTGGCTTTTTTCCATGGGTGAAAATTATTTCACCTATGGAAAGCAGAAACAGATTTGTAGGCAGTGGGGAAACAAGATTCCAAAATTTGCCAAAACACAATTAGGCTGGCAAAGGGTCTGACATAAACCTTCTTATTTTCTAACATGAAAAGGTAGTACACAGGGCTCTAATGTAGTGTAAGGGTTTAAGCCCTTGATTACTCACTCCCTACCAATGCTGTTCTTTTCTCCCTTTCCCCCCTTTTAATGCTTTTAATTTACAATTTTGCATGCCTTAGAGGAACACCAAATATACCCAAAATTGTACCTGGTAGTGATGGTCTCCATTTTTTTTTCTTTTTTTTCTAAGCCATGACACTGTTTCAGAGATGAGGTTGATCTTGCCAAGGAAGTTTTGTCTGATATCATTAATTAACCAGAGATCATAATGAGGAAAAGGTGAATAATTCATCTCTGCTTCACCCTTCCTCTCATGTGGGGTTAGTGACTAAGTGCCTGTGTTGTAGGGAAGACTGCATGCTTTCTTTTCTTTTTTCAGCCTTCTGGCGAACTAATAAAAACCTTGGAAACAGAAGGTAAAAGCCAAGAAAGTATAAGCAAGGTACCTTTCATGTCTTCAGACAAAATAGCAAGCCAAGTAGACTCCACTGGTCTGGGTTGGAAGATAATAAGTTCTGACAGTGGTACTGAAGGTAAGTTTCTTGAATTCCTGAATTACATGCATACGTCACAAGCATTCTCCACATGCTGGATTAAAATTGGCTTAATTGAACAGATAAGGAAGTTTTGAAAGTGCTCTGTTCTTTTTTAGAGCATGCAAGAGCAGAAAGAGCATGAAAAAAGTGTAGAGGAAAACACCAGATTTGTTTGAGTGTTTGTCCCTACTTCTTGAGTGAATCCTATTTCTGTATGTTTTACAGTCAAAAAGAGCACATTCAAGGTTTCTTTGTTCATTCTATGACTAAGAATCCATCAATTTCCCCTCAGATTCTGATTATATTCTCCAAATGATATCTATTTTCTGAACTAGAAAACATGTCATCAGTGTCCCTCCCATGAAAAATACTAATGTGAAAACTGCTGTTAGTCACAATCTGTACAACAGTTAAACTTCTGTTTCAAATGGACTGGAGAGGCCTTTTGGGTGAAGAACCTTCACTTTTCAGTCACGATTTTACCTTGATTGAAATATAAGAAGAAAATATTTTGAAGTCTTTTGAAAAAGTGAGGCTGCTGAAAACATTCAAAATTTTAAGTTCAAGTCTGAGGGAACTTTTAATTTGGATAACAGTCATCAAAATCCCATGCTAAACTTACGAACTCAGTCTACCCTAAAGCAGTTTTAAATTATTTGTTTTGAATGCGCATATATATTGAACTATGAATTTTATTTACGAGCATGTTAGTTAAAAATGCTACGTGAAATGATTTATTTAGTGACATCTTACTCATACCTTAAAAAGCAAAGCCATTCCTTTGACAGATTGATCTCATTGTTTACAGTTTGTCCCTACCCTTTGTTTTTAACAAGGGTAATTCACAAAGGTAAAGCAGTAATTGTATTTTCTTATTGTGTTCTCCATGTGACTGTTTTTACTTTATTGCAGCTGCAGTCAGTTTTGAAAAGTTGCCGAGTGCTTCATCTTTAGAGGGACTTCAAGTTGCACGTGATAGAATAAAAGTTGCTCCAAAACACCGTAGACCACCCAGTAGAGCTCTCTCCAACAAGTCATCCAAGAACATGAAGGGGAATCCACTGAAACCACACAGGCAGTCCAAAACTGATCCACAAGAGTTTTCTTCCAAATCCAGTACAGTTACAGAGTCCATTGAAGGAAAGGGAAATAGTGAAAATTCCGATGTTATCAACGTTACAATATCTGAAGATACAGAAATAAAGAATGAGCCAGGGAGGGATGAAATTGTGGCTGAGTTAAAAGCAAATGGAACTGAAATTCTCAATAAGGCGTTGCGATCTTCAACAGTACTTGAAAAGAAGGAAGAGAATAATTTGATCTCCCCTGGTGACGTGTCCAAAGCCGAAGACATAATTGAAACGAAGGGTATACAGGAACAGGAGACCACTGTGGGAAGTATTGAAGCATCCATTAGAATTGGTGAAGACAATGAAGATAAAAGTTTTAATAGGAATGAGAAAGATACTACCATTCAGAGCAAAGAAAGTGTGAAGACTCAGAAGAAGGTGTCTGAACCAAGAGAAGAAGTTCCCCAAAAATATTTCACAAGCAAAGAAACTAGTAGACCTTTTCTAGACCTTAATAAGGGGTCTAAATCACTCTATAACTTTGAGAAAGACAGTGCCATTCAGAGCAAAGAAAACCAGAAGACTCAAAAAAAAGAATCAGATCTAAGAGAAGAAGTTCCCCAAAAAAATTTTGCTGGCAAAGAAATCAGTAGACCTTTTCTAGATCTTAACATGAGGTCTAAATCACTCAAGAACTTTAAGAAAACAGAGCAAACAGAGGAGTCACCTGTGAAGTCACCACTGCAAAGAGGATTCTCATTAAATAGCATTAAACAGAATGGTGAAAAATCTGATCTGAAACTTGAAAAACTAGAGAAAAATAGAAAACAAGGAAAAAACGTTATTGAACAAAGTAAAAGTCTTGTGGTTAAGAATTTATCACAAATAAGTCAGGCCTGCAAAGTGCAATCCTTGGCTTTTGTTCCTGCCTCACCATCAAAGGCTTTTGATGCAGACAAAGTACCCCATGAAAAGGAAAAGGCTTCCAATCAACCAGCCTGGATAGCTTTAGCCAACAGAAGAAGTAAAAGATTGTCACAGTTACTTAATGACACTCAAGACAATCAGGTAAGTGATTATGTAAATATTGTCCCCAACGTCCGGTTTTGCCGGTTTTATTTTCTGTCCTAAACGCATCATAACTATTGATGGACCATTTTATATCTTCGGGCGATGAGGGTCATGCAATGGAGTCCTAAGATCGAGAGGTCTGGGTTCGAGACCTGGCCAGGTCAATTGTTCTTGGGCAAGGTACTTAGCTCTCACAGTGCCTCTTTCCACCCAGGAGTTTAAATGGGTACCAGCGAATTGTCAGGGAAGTCTGATGAAATACAGGGGTAATCTTGCAATGGACTAGCATCCCATCCAGGGGGGGGAGTGGTAATACTCTTAGTCACTTCATGTTAGGGAAACCAATATAAGCTCCGGGTAGGAGGGCCAATAGGCTCGAGTACAAACTTTGGGGAATGAAGCACCAAATGAGCGTAGTAATGAATTATCATAGTTGTTCAATGAAATGTATTACATGTCTATTTGATGTCAGTAAGGTACCACCATTCATACTAAGGTATACCGGTGGAAGGACTCGCAAAGATTGTAATAAGTGAGTTTCTTCATTTGTTTCAGGTGTCACTGGAAATGAAAAAAGAGTCTGCCTCTGCTGTGATCTTACAGCCCAACAACCAAGGCGATACATCAGATCCATCTGACAAGAAGAAACCAAAATTACCAACTAAACCAGAGAGGCTAACTAAAAAGACCGCTAGTAACGATGTAACAAATGAGACAGAGAAGCGCAAAGCACTAAATCAATCACCTTCAGGTGGAAGAGATTTGCCTCGAGATAAGTGTGTGGTATGTGGGAGGACTGTTTTCCAAATGGAGAAATGTAACTTTGACAGCAGTGTGCTTCACCGTCAATGCATCAAGTGCTCTGTATGTAAGAGACTTCTAACAATTGGAAACTTCGTCATAGCTGAAAGCAAAGTTTACTGTAAACCACATGGACAAGTGGTGTCTGTCTCTTTGTAAATCAGAGAATTCCTTGGTGAGAGGGATACAGAGGCATGCATTATAATTACCTCTGACCTTGTACAGCACACTAGAAACTACTGGTAGCAAATTATTCCGTACACTCGCAAATGATATACGAGATGAATCATACTTTCCTTAACTACTATACACTGGATAACATACCACTGGTGCACCTCACTGTAGGGTTATCACCTTCACAAGTTTTCGTATGCACTGCACTGCACCAGAGGTAGAGAAGTTACTGCACAGTCAAAAATGCACCCATCACGGCACACCAAATCACTGCAGGTCGAAGCGATCCATCCCTCAATGTAATTTACAACTGCTAAGTCTATTTTATTTCGATGCTTCTTAACGACCAAACGTCCTGTTGCACTTTTTGAGGACGAGACGATTTTTCTGAGTCAGCTCCTATATAATGGACAAAAGTTGTTTCTTTGAGTCCACCCGCAAAGTTATTGGTATCATCCTTACTCAAACTTCATACGACTAATGAAACATTGGTAGATATTGTAGTTTCTGCCAGTGGTATTTAATAAAACTTTAATATGCGGTAGTTCTAGCTAGTCTAATATATGGTGTTATGATGCCTTTTCTCTTTTTATCAGATAGATAATGGAGGTGTTTTCTTTATAATGAATCAACAATCATTCGGTGTTGATATCTGTTGACGGAATTTATTAAACGATTTTATCTTCCTCAGTGACTGGGAAAGGGTCCAGCTGATCATACTTGATTCAACTAGGTATCAGTGACATGGAATCGCGGTGGCCATAATATCATGTAAAATTGTTACCATAACGATTTTGACGTAAGGTAAAGAGAAACTGCGGTTGTTGTATAGACCAGCGCTGGCTTTCACTAAAAACGTACAGTCCCGCTCTTGAACTGCTACAAAAAACGGCAACATTTGAGTTAGAGACAAATCTTTTCTCAGTATTAGCAAAGAGGAAAAGTATGTGTGGATGCTCAATTGAAATGGCTACTCCTGGGACTTACTTTATCTCTTGTAGTGAACAGGTAGCTTGTTCCAGTCAAGGGATCGTTATATGAAGTATTTATTTTTATAATGTTATATACCGCCGTAATTGATATGTAACTACTAGTAATCAAAGACCGTGAGAAAAGTTCGATTCTTGTTTCCCCATCTGTTATAGACCTCAACATAGCTGAGCACTAAGAGGCCAGAAGCTTCATGTATCGTTTTGTATCCAGATTGATTTGACACTCTGACATCAGCATCCATATTTTCTATACTATTCTCGACACATTTCCTCTGTTACTGACAAAGAGAATCTGTTCAACAATCACAGCTTCTCGGGTTGGCTATCATTTCCTTTAGTCTCGTGATCTTAGTAAATTACCTAGCAGTATCACTGTGAGGAGAAATTAGATACTTGTCTCTCTTATGGGTAAAGGGGTTAAAAGATTCTTTAAAACCTTTATCGTAACTTCTTTGTTGATAGCCACTTAATAAACTTGAACTGTTACTGTATAGCTAGTCGTTTTAATCCAGTTACTCTCAGTCGACCAGCCAACGCGACGATTGCCGTGCTTTCAACAACCAACGTATGGTTGTCCCTATCCCTGTTCCTATTACTACTGTCATACTACGGGGTGGCTAGATTGGTGTCTCAAGAAGACCAACATCGATTGGCCGATCGTCCGTCCACGTTCACATGAAATCTTGCTGAAGTCCGCATTACTACTGCGTTCCACGAAAAGAGAATGTAAATATTTTGAGCGTTTGAATTGTAGATTGGATCGTGAGATTTCTGGTATAAAAGGTTTAAATCTCATGTCCATACAAAGCAAACGACGTTGGATTATTGCAATCAGACGTTTCGTTTCATTTATAACTTTTAAATGCATATCCCGGCAGTTAACATTTTTACAGGGGACATTCCCCTGCACTCGCCTGAATGCCCTCTTGCTTACATGAACGTTTGAATTCCCCCCCCCCCCCCCACCACCCCCAAAAAAAAAGTGAAAAAAAAGGAAAAAACATACATGGACTCGAAAAGTTTCCCGCTTGGGCCATGTTTCCAGGCCATAGTATCCTTAAAATTTCATTAAATTTTGAGATACTTAGAAGTAATTATTCCTCTCTGGCGCGCCTTCAAGTTTTTAATTACATGCACATCAGTCACATTTCGTCAAATAATAATTGTGATCAATTATTCCCTATTTAGCTGATCCACTTAAATTACTAAGAGCTTGGTAAAAAACTGCCGCGCGACAAATGTCGTGCCACTCTCGCTTTAGGATTTGGAATAAACCCAAGTAAGCAGTGTAGATCCATTTGTTGGGAAACAAAAGTTTTGTTTCGTTCAATTCGATGAAAATTTCCTCTTATGTTCTTTACATGTATTAGCGCTGCAGACACCTGCAGACACCTGATTTCCTGGTGCTTGGGATGTTCGTCAAGGTGTTAGCACCCAGAACCCCGTAAAATATGAATTTAGGAACCACATAAAGTTCCACAACTGTTCATCATTACCTTACTTTTTTAAATAAATTAAGGAGAAGTATTTCTCATCCAAAGCAGAACCTAGGTTCCATTTGTATATAACGTAGAAAGTTATCTCGCCACTTCAATAACAGGCTCTTCTTAGCTCCCGCCTAGTACTCGACAACACACCAGAGGGTACCCAATTTTACCAAAAGAAGTTCTTTCACTTGTCCCTGGAACGTTCGTGGTTATTATGTACACTCTGAGCAGGGTTGAAGACCATTTTCATTGCAAGAAGTACACCGTAAGACATTGATCTCTCTTGAAATCCTTGTTTTTCTTGATCTTTTACTTCCGTGACACTGAGTGCAGTTGATATATCGAAACCCGCCGCAAATGGGGCATACACCGCTATTCCTCCTCTGGGGAAAAATTAAAAGAGAATATTACAAAAATCTTTCTCTGTCCCAACTATTGTGAAATCGCTTAGTTATCCTATGTTTAGTTATCAGGAATTCTATCAAAAAGTAAATACGCTTTTATAAATTACAAGGGAATATAACCTGTTTATAATCTCTGACTCCTTACAAAGGCCAATAAATTTTGGCTTTTGGTCAAGTCATGGTTGCGATAATTCTGCTTTGACACCAACCTAGCCGAATTCATTTGTGACACAGTCCGCTCGATAGCATACCACTCTTTTGGGAAAGGAAATCACCAGCTCTTTCTCTTATCGCCCAGACTAGAGATGGCGGCAAAAACTGACCCAACCCTTGTCTGTCAGTGACTCAAGTTTCACCCGCTTGCAACAAGTAACGTTTCATTAAATCGTCTTAGCCCGACTGAGTTGAGTTGGATTAGTGAGAATTATATTTCTTAGAGGCTTTCTGTGCTCGGTTAATGGAGGAAGTTTTTGGCCACATACGGCTTACAACACATGGTTGAGACGCTCTCGAAAAAACATCCAGTCCGTTCAGACTGTAATCCGTCCCATGAAATCAAATGACTTACCTCAAAGTTTTCAAGTAAATTCTTAAGTTTCCCAGTTTCGTTTAGATGTTCAAGTTCTCCAACACCCTTTGAAAAAAAGACACGAAAGAAAGGTCACCTTGACAGAGTATCCTGGTCACTATGAGAAGCGCTTTTTCGACGGTAGTAAAAAGGTCCGGTTTCCGCATTACTTTGGTTGGGCTCTTTAAACGCGAACTTGTCAATTTGAATTTTAAGTTCAAATTATTAGAGAGTGCATTTATTTTATGGCGAGCATAGCATTTGCAAGATCCATTTTTCGACAAGAACGACGGTATATAAGTGAGAGACTTCAAAGAGGACATTCAAACACTTTGTCCTTGACATTTAGAGCACAAAGAGTCAAGGCCTCAAGTGATAGCATAAAACTAACCTCAGCATTCAGATATTTGTGATGAACTGAACAATGACTGAATGGAGCAGAACGTTCCCGCGATATTTAAAAAAAAGAATTCATAAAGTCGAGTGAACAACAATTTACATAACCTCGTGAAAGATAGGGAAGCTGTTGCTTACCCCCAAAGAAACTCCGTTCACAAACACATGAGGAACGGTGGCATTTTGAATCGCTAACCGCGTGTCTAGCTGACACTGATAGTCTTTGTGCATAAATATGTCGCGCTCATCCACTTTTAATCCTAGATTGTCAAATAATTTCCTGATGTACGCACACTCTTTCACCGTTGATCGAATTCCTCCCATCGAGGTCGTATACACGACTATCTTTCCTTCCTCGCTTTCCTGAAAATATTAAAAAGAAATGTCAAAATGTAAATACGCAACGTTAAGCATTTCTTGTGTACACGGATATAACTGTTCGCATGAATAATAAATTACACGCAAATTGCTTTGAGTTGACTTCGTACCTCAAAACTCTCTCCAACAAAACAAAGTCCTAAAATCTCTCTCCGTTCTTTGATCATATTCTTGTATCCACGAACAGTACCAGTGGGCCCAATAATTTCCTTTTTAGGAGAACTCTGAGCCGAGTGATTGCCTTGAAAGCGGCCATTACACGGGTTGTTTAGTGATGACGCTGAAGAATCTCCATTTAAGTGATTGAAAGAAACGAGCCGGACATTATTTACTGCGCCATGTTTAACTGACTTCTTATCTGAACGTAACATTATTAGAAACTTTTAACATTCGAAGAAGACTTCTAGATCGGAAGTTTCCGTTCCATTGTTACTCTTAGAAAGAGTTTGAAGGAAGACGACAATGTGACAGGAATAACCGTTCCTCAAATTGAACTTTGTTCGTTGCTTTGTATTGGGTCATTGGAGCGTGTCCCACTAGCCGTGCAGGCTGAGAATGCCACATTGATTGGTGAGAGCTCTCCAATTGGTCAAATCCATCGTTTTACATTTGCATTAATATATGTCTCTTTGCAAGGTATGTCAGTAGCGAAGTCAGAAGCTTACCAAGGGAAATTCAGCTGACGCAATAAAAACAAGAGTTTTAGATTAATTTTCCTCCGAAATAATAAGAATCGTTCTAAAATGTTGCAGAGGTTCCGTAAGCGGCTTATTTTTCCAAAAAATTTACTGTTCATCAGGACAAATAATTCTGAGTAGAGAAAGGTAATGAATTATAGCGCAAGACTAAGGGCTTTAACACCGTGCGCTATTGTCTACCACCCGGCAAATTTACTATAATCTTACCACAAACCACATTTCTGACAATGGTCAACCGCAGATTCTGGGGGAAAAATGACTATAACATTTTCAACATGGTATTCTAGTAACTGTCTTAGGAATATTAGCTGTGGTCTCAATACAGTATTAACTTTGGTCTCAAGTAGAAGTTTATCGTGCTTGATAAGAACACAGTTGTTTTAAAAATCCTGATACAAAAATGGGGTCACTGAGCTTGTTTTTGAAGCAAATTAGCTCTCTTAGCGAGCTTCGGCCATTATAAAACCACCATTCTGATGACGTGCGCGCTACCCACGCCTGGAAAATATACGCAAATAGGATGCGCAATGTATACAAGGGAATTCTCTGAATTGTCTATCAAGATAGCGAGAGCGATGGCATTTCTTTACCACTTCATATTTGGTGTACATTATGGAGGTAATATGGAAGCCATAGTTTATAATTATAATCCAGTCTAGGAGTGATTGTTTGCGCAATTGAACTTACTGAAACTTGGAAAGTCGGCTGATCATCAGCCGTGTTTCAATTTAATGGAGATAAATAGGAATCAAGGGAAGATAATGGGACCACTTTTTCCTCTTGACGGGGATGAAGTGGGAAAGTCGTAAGGGAAAGAAGAGGAGGGACCTTGTCCACCACTTTTTCTCGCTGCCACTGCCTTAATGCTGCTACGCTGAGTTAAGGTTCAGGACTCTTATCATGGACTCCCATCAATCAGAATAAGGGTGTGTTTTGAATTCCTTTCTAGATACCTTGATACCCTGAGATCCTTACGATGTGATCACTTTGGATTGGATTATCCCCTAGTGCGTTGATCAGAGTGATTTTCCAAGAATATTAAATTGATCCAGACCAACCGCTATTCGCATATGTAGTGTAGAGGAAGTGTAGTAATCAAACTTGTGTTGTTGCGTTTGAGATCGGAGAGCACTAGAGGAAATACAACTCCGAGCAAAAATCAGTTTCGAAAACTGGGCGATTATAATAATAGCTCGGTCTAGCATTTCAGTCCACGAGAAGACGCAAATATTTCTTGCGGTAAAAATCACAAGGCATAAGTTGCCAAATTTCGTACCATTCGATGTAACTGAGAATACGAAAAAAAGGAAAATGTTACCATCTTCATTTACATCATACTTGCGCGAAAGCAAACGTATTTTTGAGAAGCTAAGTGTCTCAAGTCGTAGGCAAGTGACTCTGATGATTACTTTCACTCTGGTTGTCGAAACTTCAGTCACTAATACCAAGAACGGTCCTTCTCAGGACTACACTCACCTGGACGATCATACTACCAAATCATTCCTATTAATGTGTGTTCCTTTACAGTAACGCACCAACTTTCATAACACCATGGCTTCTATTCTTTCTTGTCATTGTAGCCCCTAATTTTAGGCTTTTGTCGGAAGCACTTAATGATTGGGTCCTTAATGAGGGGAATGTAATTCGCTACTTTTGTTATTGCTTCGATCGCATGAAAAGCGCTCGTTGAGTCCGTGGGGATTAAGGGTGCCGATTTGGAAGATAAATTTTTGTTTTATTGTTTTACGGCTTCCGAACCGCCTACTTAAAGTGTCTAGCGACTGGTTTGGATGCGTCCTTGTCATTTCTTTCCACGTCGCGAAGGTGTTCTCGGAATCGGTCACCTAGTCGTCTTCCTGTTTCGCCAATGCATCACTTATTGCAATAATTACAAGCTATGCAGTAAATAACTTTGGCGGAGGTACACGTGAAGTGATCAGTGATCTTAATGGATCTCTTGGGTCCCGATGTTTTTGTACGTTATGAATGAAAGAACAAGTTTTGCATCGTGAGCGAGCGCATTTTAAAGTTTTAGATTGGTCATTGGTTTGAAATGAACTTCTGACCAAAAAGTTGCCTATTTTTTTTGCCACGTTTGAATGAAATAAGTGGAGGTTGCGAAAAGATAATGCCAGTCATTACCGGCACTAGAAAGTCTGAAAAAACGCAAAGACATAATCATTAAAGCGGCTGACAAAGGCGCAGTTGTTGTTGGCGGGCCGACCTCTACCAAAAAGAAGCTTTGCGGCAACTTTCTGACACCTCCTTTTATGCTAAAGTCGACAAAGATCTCACTTTAATTGACCAAAACATTGTCAAAAATACGAGTAACGATCTTAAGCTAAACAAGAATTGCCGACCTCTACTAAAAATCTCACCATCACCACCCCTAGAACTTCGTGTATTTACTTTTTACCTAAAATCCACAAACCTAACAACCCAGGTCGACCCATTGTTTCTGCCTGTAGTTGTCCTGCCGAACTTATTTCCAGACAAAATTATGGCACCTATCGTCAAAACTTTGCCATCTTACATGAAGAACAGCCCACACACACTTGAAATTTTTTAGTGACTTTTGTTTCCTTGGCCAAAACAAACTTAAATTCTCTATGGATATTACATCTCTGTATACTGCCATTCCCAATGACGAAGGTCTCCGGGCCCTCAAACATTTTTGCGATCATCGCACTGTTAAGGAACCTATCTCCGAAACACTACTTCGTTTGGCCGAACTAGTACTCACACTCAATTGCTTTTCATTCGGTGGTAACTACTACAAACAAACAAATAGCGTCGCCATGGATACTCAAATGGGACCCAGCTACGTCAATCTTTTCGGAGGTTATATCGAACATCAACTTTTTAGTCAATACCACGGCCCAAAACCTTAACTCTACGGCCGTTACATTGACGATTGCATCGGCGCTATCTCCTCTACCAGAGAGATCACTCAATTTATAACCGCCGTCAATTCTTTTCAACCGGCTCTTAAATTTACCTGGAAAATTTCCGACACTTCTTTGGCTTTTCTAGACATCAAAATTCCAATTGAAGGCCACGGTTTAGGTACTAGTGTTTACTACAAACCTACAGACTCACATAGTTACCTGTTGTACTCATCTTCACATCCATCACACGTCAAGAACTCCAGACCTTTTTCACAGTTTCTGAGACTTCGTCGTTTTTGTAGTGACGACTCTGATTTTTCCGAAAAATCTGAGGCAATGTGCCAGTTGTTTGATAGACGTGGCTATCCTGTTTCTGTCGTTCAAGCGGGCCACCACCGTGCCCAACAAAATTGATCGACAATCAGCACTACAAACGGCTGAGAAGGAAAACACTGACCGCATTCCATTTACTCTTACATTTCACCTTCACAACCACGCAGTTAAGTCTACCATTCTTAAAAAAATTAAATTACTCCAAAACGATTCTGAGACTAGCACTATCTTTTCGTAACCCCCACTTATTTCATTCAAACGTGACAAAAACATAGGCAACCTTTTGGTCAAAAGTACACTTCAAACTAATGACCAATCTGGAACTTTCAAATGCGCTCGCTCACGATGCAAAACTTGTTCTTTCATTCATAACGTACAGAAAATATCGGGACCCAAGAGATCCATTATAAGATCACTGATCACTTCACGTGTACCTCCGCCAATGTTATTTACTGCATAATTTGCAATTATTGCAATAAGTTATACATTGGCGAAACAGGAAGACGACTAGGTGACCGATTCCGAGAACACCTTCGCGACGTGGAAAGAAATGACAAGGACGCATCTAAACCAGTCGCTAGACACTTTAATCTCCGTAATCATTCTAAAACAGCATATGGCAGTTTGCGGCCTTTCCTTACATCTAGGCGGTTCGAAAAGCTGTAAAACACTAAAACAAAAATTATCTTCCAAATCGGCACCGTTAATCCCGACGGACTCAACGAGCGCTTTTCATTCAACTAATTATTTCTGTTTTCTCGTCACCCTATTCCCACCAATAGCGTAGCTCCACTTTCTGCATATAAACCCAAACATAACCCACAATTCCTCCAATCGCTCTGACGAAGGGCTAACACTCGAAACGTCAGCTTTTTTACCCTTTACGGTGGCCAATTTGCGTTTTCAACTCAGTTGTTAACACTAAATTACCTGCTATACTCTCCCACCGACGCAGCACCACAGTTTCTTTAGAAACTTACCTCCTTTATTCTATTATCTTGTATTATAACCCACCTATTAATTTTAGCGCGATTTTATTGGCTTCTTCACGTCATGTGACGCAAAATCACTGGGCAGTTATCACGCCGTAACCCTCGTCTGGGTCGATCTTTGCCCTCCGAATATTTCCCTCGAAATGAAATCAGCGGAACAAAACCAGCTTGAAGCTTTCGTCTCTATTATTATTTTACACGGAAGAAAATCAAACTCATTTTGTAAAATCCAGTGATGGTGATATTAAAAACTTGGTCGCAAATACTGATCCACCGTCAGATTAACACTTGCATTTTCACGAGCGATTTCGGGTGCTAAAAAAAATTTATGAGAGGGTTTTAAAATATACACACCCCTTTCCTGCCTTCCTGGTATGTCGGGTGATAATGTCCTTGGTTGAGTGATTGTCCTCAACATTACTCAAGGGAGTGCATGTGGGCTTTAGTGAATGGGTGATCCTTTAGGCGGGCTTTTGCAGGTTTCATCGGTAAGTAGTTTCCTTCGTAAATGAATAGGCTGGTTAAATCAACAAATAAATACACTTCCACATTATTTTAAATAAGTAAATCTGAACAAATATTGTTATTGAATCACAATAATGTAATTTCAAAAGAGCATTAACTTTCAAAAGATTCTAAGGAAACTATAGTTGAATAGAGCCATAAAAGACCTTCCAATTTATCTAAAAAGATAAATCCAACAGAAGGTAAAGAAGATGAACTAATACTGAGCAGAAAAGATGC